AGCTTTTTAAAAATTTTTATTTGCCCTATTTAAGTCACTGCTTGGAGCTAAGGTACTGAAACTGCACTTCTTTTTGGCTTTTGATAGTACAGTAGTTTTTGAGTACCTATTTCTTGATTGAGTATTCACACTGTAACGTCAATACTGAATGTCCTGTGTTCAGCTTCTTCTAATAACGCATCCGGTTAGTTATCAAGAAACTGTCAATTATTTTATTGCAGACTACTAGAATTTTATTACTATTATGAATTCTAAAGAGTCTAAGAAAACTCTACTGGTGCTAATGCTGAATGTGAAATCCTCACTGAGGAGTCGTTAAAGAATATTGTTAATTTATCTGTCAACAAATCAGTATAATCTGCAATATTTTCTGCTATGTCCTCTATGCAAGAGGCAATTGCAAAATCTGTGGCTTATGCTATCAGCCAATCTACCAAAGCTGTGCAACAGACTGAGGTAATTAATACTCACTCTGACCAATTTTGGTCATCTGTATAGTCTGAAAGGAATTTGGCGCAAGGTTTCAGGAGGTATGGGAAGGCCACCCAGAAATGTAAGTATTGGTTTGACGGTCTTTATGATTCCCCTTCTTGCACAAAAGCATCTAAAAAATGGAAAGATCAAGACCATAATGAAATGCGTGTATCACGCAAATTTGATGAGCGTAACTTACTCAAAAGACCCTCTGCTCGTAAGGAAGACAAACTAACTCGGAAGTTTCCAAAATACATGTAGAACGAAATAATATATATATCTATATACATAAGTATATATCACTATATGTATACCTATATAAAAATAAAAATAATTTAAAAAATTATATATATATATACATATATATATATAATTTTACATATATATTTATATAATAATGTTATATAATTAGGTCCTATTATTCAATTTGCGGGACCTGCCTGACAACCCAGGCCGAAAGTATAGGGAATTTAATTTGCTAGCACTATATTTAACCCTATAACTTTCCATGACACTATAAAACCTGTACATGGGGGTACTATTCTACTCGGGAGATATCGCTGAACACAAATATTTGTGTTTCAAAACCGTAAAATGTATTACAACGATGATATCGTCAGTAAAAGTGAAGTTTTTTGCATTTTTCACACATAAACAGCATTACACGGACAATATTATTGCTGTGATACTTTTTACTGTTTTGAAACACAAATATTTGTGTTCAGCGAAGTCTCCTGAGTATAACAGTACCCCTCATGTACAGGTTTTATGCTGTTTTCAAAAGTTACAGCGTCAAATATAAGGCTTGTGTTTCATTTTTTTCACATTAAAATTCGCCAGATTGGTTACGGTGCCTTTGAGACCCTATAGTAGCCCAAGAATGAAAATTACCCTATGATGGCATACCATTTGCAATAGTAGACAACCCAAGGTATTGCAAACGGGGTATGTCCAGTCTTTTTTAGTAGCCACTTAGTCACAAACACTGGCCAAAATTGGCGTTTTTTGCATTTTTCACACACAAACAAATACTAACGCTAACTTTGGCCAGTGTTTGTGATCACATGGCTACTAAAAAAGACTGGACATACCCCATTTGCAATACCTTGGGTTGTCTACTATTGCAAATGGTATGCCATTATGGGTGTAAATTTCATTCCTGGGCTACTATACAGTCTCAAAGGCAACGTAACCAATCTGGCGAATTTCAATTTCAAATGGAACGTGCTATATTTGACCCTGTAACTTCCCAAAACGCCATAAAACCTGTACATATATATATATTTAATCAGTATCAGTCTACGTGTAATATGATATATATATATATATATATATATATATATATATAAATAGTAAAATACACCTAGACAGTGTATGTGTGTGTATGTATATGTGTGTATATATATACTTAGATCATATAATATATATATATATATATGATCTAAGTATATAATTTTTTTTTTACACTTTTTAATTTTATTTTATTTTATTTCCAGCCAGCAGGGGGACTGCCTGTCATTACAGGCAGTCCCCCTGCTGGCAATACAGCAGCCAGCTATCCCAGCCATGTGATTGTGAGGTCCTCGCAAGGACCTCACTCTCACATGGCCAGGGGGGGCTGCAGGATGGAGGATCCGCCACGGGAGTCCCCCCAACCACGATCGCCAGCGTGGGATCGCCGGCGACCAGGTAAGTAAGAAAAAAACGGAGGGCGTACTATTACGCCCGGCTGCGTTTAGAGCCGCCTAAAATAGGGCGTAATAGTACGCCCTCCGGTCTTAAGGGGTTAAGGAAAAAAAAGCAAAAGAAAACATTATGCTCACAGGTAGCCACGAGGTGGCAGTATTGTCCCTCTCTGATTATAGATATAGATATATAGATATATATATATACACTGCTCAAAAAAATAAAGGGAACACAAAAATAACTGAATTAATTAAATATTCTTCTGAAATACTTTGTTCTTTACATAGTTGAATGTGCTGACAACAAAATCACACAAAAATTTAAAAATGGAAATCAAATTTTTCAACCCATGGAGGTCTGGATTTGGAGTCACACTCAAAATTAAAGTGGAAAAACACACTAATGAGGCTCAGTAGTGTGTGTGGCCTCCACGTGCCTGTATGACCACCCTACAATGCCTGTGCATGCTCCTGATGAGGTGACGGATGGTCTCCTGATGGATCTCCTCCCAGACCTGGACTAAAACATCTGCCAACTACGGGACAGTCTGTGTTGCAATGTGACGTTGGTGGATGGAGCTAGACATGATGTCCCAGATGTGCTCAATTGGATTCAGGTCTGGGGAACGGGCGAGCCAGTCCATAGCATCAATGCCTTCGTCTTGCAGGAACTGTTGACACACTCCAGCCACATGAGGTCTAGCATTGTCTTGCATTAGGAGGAACACAGGGCCAACCGCACCAGCATATGGTCTCACAAGGGGTCTGAGGATCTTATCTCGGTACCTAATGGCAAGCAAATGGAGGGCTGTGCGGCACCCCAAAGAAATGCCTCCCCACACCATTACTGACCCACTGCCAAACTGATCATGCTGGAGAATGTTGCAGGCAGCAGAACATTCTCCACGGCGTCTCCAGACTCTGTCACGTCTGTCACATGTGCTCAGTGTGAACCTGCTTTCATCTGAGAAGAGCACAGGGCGCCAGTGGCGAATTTGCCAATCTTGGTCTTCTCTGGCAAATACCAAACGTCCTGCACAGTGTTGGGCTGTAAGCACCCTCGTGGAGTCTGTTTCTGACCGTTTGAGAAGACACATGCACATTTGTGGCCTGCTGGAGGTCATTTTGCAGGGTTCTGGCAGTGATCCTCCTGTTCCTCCTTGCACAAAGGCGGAGGTAGCGGTCCTGCTGCTTGGTTGTTGCCCTCCTGTGGCCTCCTCCACATCTCCTGATGTACTGACCTGTCTCCTGGTAGCGCCTCCATGCTCTGGACACTACACTGACAGACGTTCTTGCCACAGCTCGCATTGATGTGCCATCCTAGATGAGCTGCACTACCTGAGCCACTTTGTGGGTTGTAGACTCCGTCTCATGCTACCACTAGAGTGAAAGAACCGCCAGCATTCAAAAGTGACCAAAACATCAGCCAGGAAGCATAGGAACTGAGACGTGGTCTGTGGTCACCACCTGCAGAACCACTCCTTTATCGGGGGTGTCTTGCTAATTGCCTATGATTTTCACCTGTTGTCTATCACATTTGCACAACAGCATATGAAATTGATTGTCACTTATATCGTTATAATGGCACCTGCAAAGGTGTGGAATATATAAGGCAGCAAGTGATTTCTTAAAATTCAAGTGTTGGAAACAGGAAAAATGGGCAACCAAAAAAAAAATGAGTGACTTTGACATGGGTCATATAGAGATGGCTAGACGACTGGGTCAGAGCATTTCTAATATGGCATGTCTTGTGGGGTGTTCTTGTTATGCAATGGTTAGTACCTACCAAAAGTGATGCAAAAAAGGACAACAGGTGAACCGGCATCAAGGTCATGGACGCCTATGGTTCATAGATGCACATGCGTAACGAAGGCTAGCCTGTTTGGTCTAATCGCACAGAAGAGCTACATTAACTCAGATTTCTGAAAAACGTATTGCTGGCCATAATAGAAAGGTGTCAGAAGACACAGTGCATCACAGTTTGAGTGCCCATGATGACCCCTGTCCCAGTGGAAAGCACTTTTTAATGGTAATGTGAGCATCAGGACTGCACCATGGAGCAATGGATGATGATTGCCTCGTCTGATTAATCTGTTTTCCTTTAGATCAGTTGGATAGCCAGGTGCATGTGCTTCATTTTCCTGGAGTAGAGATGGCAGCAGGATGCACTATAGGAAGACAGAAGGCTGGTGGAGGCAGTGCTATGTTCTAATCAATGTTCTGCTGAGAAACTGTGGATGTGAATGTTATTTTGACACTACCACCAGTGGCGTACACACAATCCATGGGGCCCCGGTGCCAAACTGATCTATGCCCCCCCCAACTCCCTCTTTCCCCCCCTTCCTCTCACCCCTCCCATCCCTCTCTTTCCCCCCTGACCGACACACACACACATACAAAGACACATACAAACAGACAGACACACACACACAAGACACAAATACATACAAAGCCACATACATACACACATACAAACAGACCAGCACACATACATACAGACAGAGACACACACATACACACACAAGACACACATACATACAAAGACACATACATACATACATACATACAAACAGACAGACAGGCACACATACACACACACATACAAACACACATATACAAAATGTTTGTCACCCTCCTGTTTCCTACCTTTTAGGTGCAGGAGGATGACTTTCCCTGGGGTCCAGTGGTGGCTCAGGTTGATGGGTGTCAGAGTTCCCACTCTGACTCCCTCCTCTGCTTCCTCCTGTGCGGGATGCTGGGAGGAGTGACCAGTCATTTCCTACCAGCATGTGATGTTATCACAGGGGGCCCGGTCGCGCTGTTAAAGCGCCGCAGCACTGACCGGACCTCCTGAAAATCCATACCCATCGGGTGGCCCTAACAGCATGGGCCACCAGATGGACCCATTGAACGGCGGCCCGGTGCCGCAAAACATGACGGGGGGCACCCGGCCGCAGGGGTCATTGAGCTGAAGTGGTCTGGGTGACTATAGTGTCCCTTTAATGTTGTGACTGATCATAGTGTATCTACAGAAGGGAACACTAAAGATATACAAATGTTCCAGTAGGTGGCGCATAGAACCTTGTGTAGTCAAATATGCCCAAAATAACTTATACAGGCCAACACAGAGCCCAAAAAAATAGTCAAAAAGAATTTCAAACACAAATGTTTACCTATGGATATTGTATGAATATATATATATTAAAAAGTATAAGCTGGACAAGGCTATCATATGATATGTTTATGTCTTAGCTAGTAAGTTAGCTACAATAGCTAAAAATATTAGTAGAGGTAGGCCAACATATAAGTATAGTAATAGTTAAAGTTAAACTAATCAGTATGTATAAATAAAGGTAGAACCCAAAACATAGAAGAGAGTAGATATGAAGTGTCTAAGACAGCTCAGAAAGTTGTTGACAAAAGCCTAAATATAGGACTAAAGAGATCATGCTGTCTAGCACTACAGAGCCCCAACACATATTTCACCTTCACTCATGTAAGCTAATTGAGCAGGACCCTCAACCCTTCTGTTCCTGTGTGTGTCGTTAGTCCACCCATTGCACACCGCTGCAGAATTTTTTGGCGCTATATAACTAATAATAATAGTAATCATTATATCCCATCTTAGACACCTTTTTTCTAAAGTAATAAAATTTAGGTTTTCTATGATGCTTCTCAATAAATTAAAATGATACAGAAATGCAGGCAGATGCCTGAATGAAAAAATCAATCTCTAACCACACCTCAAAAGAGCAGGTTTTTGCTTGCTCTTTGTTTAGTACATTCTACTATGCATTTATATATATATACACATAGACTGCCCCCTTGAATCCAGTCGATCACGATTATAAATGGTAATCCCTTACCTCCATTTGGACAATACTTTATGGAGGATGTTAAGGCTCTTATATTTTTGCAATACACTCTTTAACATTTATCCCATCTATGTATATTAAAGAGGCCAGAGACCTCTCCTTGGTAACAGCCTTATTGTGACAGGAGATCACCATGATTATTGTCATGACATATTTTATAAGGGAGGACCCCGTCATCAACCTTAAAACACACAGAAGAACAAAACCCCATATTGAAAAGAGAGAAAAACCTTCTTTATAGTGTTGTGGTTTTATAATCCTGAACCATAAAATAGCAATCACTTACCTATCACCCTAAAAGCTACATACTGCACACACAGATAACACCACTCATGAAAAATTGGATACTTTTTTCATTTGAGCGGCTCGTGCCCTTCTAGGTAGTTGGTGGTTCCTATTGGAATTTCAATCATCTCTTTTCTTGGTGACTTTTAAAGGGTTTGGGGCAATAAAACTGACATTGAACCCCTATTAAAGTATTAGAATATGGAAGTGGAGAACCTCTAGGTAAAAATTGCATCCAAGATCACCCGATAACATCAAATGCAAAGAGTTGGGTAGCTCCCTGATGCAAAAACTTAAAACTTTAGATTTGAGTGTAATAAACAACAAATATGTGTATATGCAAAGAGCTTGTGCTTTCCTTAACAATAATCAGCAAAATAACGCTCCTTCGATGCACAGTATCCTTTAAAACACACAGTACAAAACAGAAGTGCAACCTGTATGAAGAGATATTTATATAACCTATGGTGAGATCTTTTTCCACTCCAACCTCGTGTGGCGCTGAATCACGTGCCGATGTCCCTCGACTTTGGGTCAGGCTGCGCCCATGCTCCTCCCCCGCTGACATCAGTCGGAGGGGAAAACCTAATGCGCGGCAATGGCCGCGCTCGCATCAGGATTTCCCCAAAGAAAAGCACTAATCAATGCTTTCCTATGAGGATTTTGTGACGCTGAAAGTCCTCATGCATAGCGTGAGAACGTCCAGCATCATTTAGATGACCAAAAGTCTTCTAAGCACCTGGAAGTCCCTCTAGTGGCTGTCATTGCCTAAGGGAAAGCAATTCCCAAACAGGGGCATACAGGAGATGTGCGTCTTACAGCAAGTGTAACACCCACTGAAAACATTGTTGCTGGAGACAGGTTTACAGTGGGTTGTGTACTTTGATCGTGATCAGAAAGAAGAGTAAATAGGAAATGAAAGTAAGGAGAGAGAAAGGTAAATGCAATGGGAGTACATACAGTATGCAAAGGATACCTACAATACCAGCACCAAAGAAGGGGGACACAGCAGAGTCTCATTTTGTGTCAGCATTGTGAGTTTGTTGCCCTGAAATATATTCAACTCAGTGGACCATGTGCGCTGTGAGGATATTTATAGGGTGATAAATATTAAAAATAATATTTTCATAAAAATTATCAAAAATGTATTTAATAATTTTTATTATATCAAAATTAATATCTTGACACTGTCCCCGAATAATGATAATATAAAGCTGAGAATTACTCACGATTTTGAATTCTCTTAGATCCTAGAGGAAGTTCACTTGAGGATTTTTACTTCACACAGTAATCACAATTTAATTATGAAAATATTATTTATTGTGACAATAATAAAAATAATAATAATATATAACATGCATGACAATCAGTGAATAATTAGTATAACATAATTATACAATATGGCAACAATTTCACAACACAATACAGACAGCTAAAAGCAACCAGTTGTCAACAGTTTAAGATTTACAACAGGACACTGTTTAGAAACCAACTTCACACAGAAAGCAGAACTTAACAGCACAGCATATAGCAATAAACTTTGGCTGTTAGTCAAATCACACTAAATGAACCCTTCCACTGCTGGCTACAATCCTCATAGGCAAGATATCCTATTATGTTGCAATTTTACAATTAAAGTAATGTTCATACCATATCACTTGACCATTCCTAGGACCATCCAATAAGAATAATTCTACCAGGTTTTTACGTTTGCCAAATTTTAACTTTCCTAAATAAGATTCACTATCTTATATCAGAACAAGTCAATACCTGGATAAAATTTAATGTGCTAACATCTGGCCAATTTACTGTTAATATATTGTTATCTTTATGCCACCTGCAGGAATGGCATTTTTATAACCATATATTCCTTTGCTAATTATGATTTCTAATGATTGAAATCTGACCAATATTTATCCATATATATATATATATATATATATATATATATATATATTCCTGCTATTAGTAAAAATGTATTAATTTTATTTAATAAATAAAACCAGCATAATTACCAGTTAGGTTGTAGATTTTCTCTCAGATGTGTAGATATGTCCCAGGAATTTGAATGCAAGCATGATGTATTTGTATGGAATAGTTCTGAAATTTTGTTAGTTGGGAAAGGTAATAGTGAGAATTAGGTGTCCAAGTGAGTACGGTCCAAGAGTCAGAATATGTTTCAAGGAGAGTTCGAATGTTGTTCAAAGAGTGTATGAACGTCCCAAAGAGCTGAATCCCCCAAAGAGCTTAAATCTTCCCTTTGTCCTTACTTTTTAAAGGGAAAACTTTCTGCACGTCACTAATTGATAGGACCAATAGGGAACTGTAGGTGTGTCTTCCCTACAGACTATCATCTAGTTTTTGGTCAGTAGGTGGCGCAATTATATCACCAAAAATTCTTGTCAGGGGGTCCATTTGCCTTTTTACAAAATGGGTTAACTGAAATTGGTGATGCTTTTTACGTCATTTTCAGCTATCTTTCTTTTTTTTTAGAAAGTAAAATGAATTACTTAGTGTTATCTGTCATTGGTCTGGGTTTCCTGTGTGAAACTGTGTTTAAGATTATTTATACTCCACTAACATTAGTAAATAATATGATATTTCTTCATTGATATTTATCCATGAATAGTCTATATTATTAACATGATACTAATTATACATGATTAATATAATAATAGTAAATTATAAGTGGATAGTGTGTATATGTGTATATATATGTATATATTTGTCTCTGGGTTGTTTGTAGTATTCCATCCCCCTTTTGCCTGTTAGTCATCCTGCCTTATCACTTGTTTTATCTCTAATGTTTACATAAGTGCATTCCTTATCTCAGACTTGAATGAATAGAGTTACAGAGAGAAATCTTGTGTCTGTCTTAGCCTTGTAATACAAAATGGAGTCACCTCTGTTCTGAGAGTGACTGGCAGTATACACTTTTAATTTCTGTCTTAACACAAAATGTCTGCCGATATAAATATACTGACAGAGCGTATTTTTGTTCACAGTGCCTCGTAGTTGTGCCGTCAGGGATTCCATACTTCCCCTTTGGTATTTCTTCCACCTTTAGCATCCATTCCTGAAAGACACTTGGTTCATTTCCAGAGTAGGGGCTTAAGCACTTTAGCTGCGTTCAAGAGGTGTTTTGTGAGTGATTTTTTATAGCGAGATATAGAAAGATTGGTATGGCGCAACAAGATTGGGAGAGGTTGGAATGGGAGGTTTGCTTCCTTAAATTTATTAATGGTGGCATGAATTAGCTTCTAATAAGGTTCTATCTGTAGGCACGTCCACCATATGTGGAACCCTGTCCTGAACCCCCTCCTATATCTCCAGCACACATCAGTTATCTCAGAGTTGATACAGCGCAATTTGTCCATGGTCCGGTACCAGTGTGTCAAGAGTTTGTAACCCGTCTCTTGGATCTTTGAGCAGATGGAGCTTTGATGTGTAAAGATAAAACTTTTCTCCAACACTTATTCTGTGAGCATTTGGTTCATATCTGATACCTATTTTGCATTGTATGCCAGAAGTAAGTCTGAGGCTGAGTATGATAGGAGAGTGTATAGGGTAGATATGCCCTTCACAAGTTGTTGAAGGAACAGAGCTTCTCGAAATGGGTCAATTCTCTGTGGAATAACTGTTTATTTGGTACCAAGGATTAAAACCAGCTTATTGCACAGAAGCCTTTTTTGGTTAGATTTTTGGTTATATTTAGGCAAATAGTTGCAACAAATATCCTGTCTGGTTTTTATGGCTTTGAAGTTTGTTTCTGAATTTGATATTGGTTGAGTAGAATACGTATGCACTAATTTTCAAGTATGTGGCTTTTAGTGAAAATTTCCCAAATTTAGGGAGATCAATAATATTTGAGATGGTTAAACCATCATTGGTATTTGAAGACACCATGTACCAGGAGTGGGGTTTGAACCCAGGTGGGACATTTGTCCAATGCCTTAACCACTCAGCCACCCTTATGCTTTACTTATTTTGATCGTTCAATCAGACAACCAAAGGGCAAGTATTAACAATGTTTTGGTTACCCATTTTTGCTTTAATTCAGAATTGGAATACAATATATCTCTTAATGTCAGTTCAGTGTACCATTGTTCATGACAGTAACTCATGTCAGTTTCTTACATACAACCCCTCTGAAGCTAATGCCTGCTCTATAAAAGAAAGGCCAAACACTGGAGCGAATAGGGGGGGGAGCATGATTGCTGCCTTGAGGGATTGGCATAGCAACTAAATTAATACAGTTGGTTTTCAGTTTGAAGCTTAGAATTCTGGGAAAATTACCAGACTACTGGTGAACAATGCTAGGGAGCCTTGCAGTGTTTTTCCCCACCCACCCTCCCCAATGGTTCTGTTCTAGGATTGGTGTTTGTGTTGTGTTGTGTTGTGTTTTTCATTTTGTCACTGCTGTGGGTTTCCAGCGCCAGCAAGTTTGGTAAATTAATAATGCCAGGCTTGGGGAGTCGCAACCTGAATTTGGTTGATGACGAAGGACAGGCTGAAGAGGCTCTGGAAGAAGTTTAAAGTGTACCTGTCTGCTGGGTAAAATCAGCAGCTGGTTTAAATAACCAAAAACACACAAAGCTTCGGGATACGGCTGGAAATGAATCTAAAAGGAACACAGAGATATACAAATAGTGAAGTACAGTTTATACATTCAAACATGAGCTGTACATAGATGCACTCACGAAAAGGTGTAGAATATATCGCTCGTAAGGTGCCTCCCCCGATAAGAATGGGGGGCCAATGATCCCTTGTTTTCTTATGGAATACCGTAGTAATACTCTGGACTCCAAGCGGGAAATGGTAGGAAAAAACAATGCTTTTATTGATAAAAGGTGAAAAATCACCATCAATATAAAAATATAATATAAAAAACAAACGGTATGGTCCTACGCGTTTCGTTCTATAAAGAACTTCCTCAGGGACCGTGGTAATGAATAAAATTAATACATAGAATTACAGCATGTAAAAAACATGCATTGGTTTTATTTATTACCACGGTCCCTGAGGAAGTTCTTTATAGAACGAAACGCGTAGGACCATACCGTTTGTTTTTTCCTTATGAGCGATATATTCTACACCTTTTCGTGAGTGCATCTATGTACAGCGCATGTTTGAATGTATAAACTGTACTTCACTATTTGTATATCTCTGTGTTCCTTTTAGATTCATTTCCAGCCGTATCCCATTTGTGTGTTTTTGGTTATCTATATATGAAAAGGTTGTCTTCCTTGGGTAACGATCTTGGGAGGCTGTTTTATAATTTTCAAAGTTAAGTATTTATATATGTTACACTACGGTTATTAATCACAGTAGTGTCGATATTGTGCTGGTTTAAATAAAGCTGTGGCCGAGATACAGCAGCTGGTTTAAATAAAGCTGTGGCCGTTGCCCTTACCTACTAACTATGGTGTTGCATTACTTATTGGGAATTTAAGGGTAACAGGATTTGGCGATTTAAGGAGTCAGCAGTCAAGCAATATTGTCTTAAAAGGAGGAGGAGTCTGCATTCAGACTCTTTATTGTGGATCTATTTTCCAAGACAGTTAACGTTTCACTCTACAGAGCAAAGCATAACTAGCTGAAGAAATACAATTAAAGGGGAGATGTCACTTCTAAATTTACGCTTTTGAATATAAAATATAAAATCACCTCTAACTTGTGTAAACCTGTTTTTCATGAAATGCTCTGTTTTCTTTTAAATATATAATAAAGAGTTAGCAAATTACTTCATAATCCAATTCAGACAAAGCCAGGGATAACATTACTTATGTAGAGAAGAAAGCGAAACATGGTTTCAGTAATCCAGTTCTCTGTATGTTCTGTCTCTGCTGACTGCTATGTTTATATATAAAAAAAAAGGTTAATCCTAGCTGGACCAGGCACCCAGACCACTTTATTAAGCTGAAGTGGTCTGGGTGCCTATAGTGGTCCTTTAAGTGGCGGTCTGAGTTAACCGTCTGCCTATGGTTGTTTGCAATTGGCTGTAAAGTTTGTTAAATTAACCATCCTGCTCAATGAAGCACTTCAGTTTGCCCATGTGCTTTAGGGGTAAACTAGAGATTTCCCATGTTTTATTTTACTTAAGTGCTGATTTCAAGAGAAATTGTCACTTTTATAAAAGTCCTTAGTTACACCCTCCAGCTGTCAATCAGATAGCCAATAGGTCTAAACGATCATTCAAAGAAGAAGGCGATGCTCCTGACATGCTCCTTAGGTTCCCAATGCTTCTACATGATAAAGATTGAATTGGCCTGGATACAGGGGCGTATTAGCCGCGAGGCAAACAAGGCATTTGCCTTGGGCGGCATTTTTCAGGGGGCGGCAAAAAATGCCGCCCCCCAAATGCCCAGGGCAAATGCCTAGTTAGCCTTGCGGCTAACTGACATCCCGAGCGGGCGGGCGGCGCTGGCAGGCGGGCGGCTGGCGAGGGAGCACTTCCTATGAGCTCTCTGCTCAGCTCCCTCGCGCGCCGCAGAGTGAAGCTGGGAGCCGGAAGATGACGTCATCTTCCGGCTCCCAGCCTCACTCTGCAGCCGGCGCGCGAGGGAGCTCGCCAGCCGCCCGCCTGCCAGCGCCGCCCGCCCGACCTGCAGCCACTGGACCACCAGGGAGAGAGACCCCCCCCAGCACTCCCAAAGGTAAGGAGGTTGGGGGGCGGATTTAAATAAAAAAAAAAAAAGTTAATTTGTGTGTGTGTCTGACTGTGTTTGTGTGTTTGTGAGTGTGTGTGTTTGTGTCTGACTGTGTGTGTGTGACTGTGTGTGTGTTTGTGTCTGACTGTGTGTGTGTGACTGTGTGTGTGTTTGTGTCTGACTGTGTTTGTGTCTGTGTATGTGTCTGTGTATGTGTCTGACTGTGTGTCTGTGTATGTGTCTGACTGTGTCTGTGTGTGTGTGTGTGTGTGTGTCTGACTGTGTGTGTGTCCGACTGTGTGTGTTTGTGTCTGTGTTTGTGAGTGTGTGTCTGACTGTGTATGTGTGTGTTTGTGTCTGACTGTGTTTGTGTCTGTGTATGTGTCTGACTGTGTGTGTGTGTGTCTGACTGTGTGTGTGTGTGTGTGTGTATGTATGTGTCTGACTGTGTGTGTTTGTGTCTGTGTTTGTGTGTTTGTGAGTGTGTGTGTCTGTGTGTGTGTGTTTGTGTCTGTGTGTCTGACTGTGTGTGTGTGTCTGACTGTGTGTGTGTGTGTTTGTGTCTGACTGTGTGTGTGTGTGTGTTTGTGTCTGACTGTGTTTGTCTGTGTATGTGTCTGACTGTGTGTGTGTGTGTGTCTGACTGTGTGTGTGTGTTTTGTGTCTGACTGTGTGTGTGTGTATTTAGAAGGTGGGGCGGGGAAGGGTTGGGTGGGGTGGCGGGGGGGGGGGCGCCTGAGTTTTGTCCTGCCTAGGGCAGCACAAAACCAGGATACACCACTGCCTGGATAAATAAAACTAAACAGCCCAACATATAAAATAAATATATATTTTTTTAACATTGGAGTGTTTATTAAATAGTGTTCAAATGCCTGTACTTTAGTTTTGTTGCCTATAGTATTAAATATAGCCCTGTAATTGTAACTGATTATTACATGAACCCAGGAGTTCCTGGTGGTGTTCATATGAGATTTAGGTGTCACAATCTCTTCTTCAGCCAACGATGCTTATAGAAATATGAGTACAGCTATCTTAACCCTTACATGGACATGAAAGTCCATGTTTAACTAATCCATTTCTAAATGCTGGCCACACATTTCCGATCCACTGTTTTACATAATCAGATTACAGAAGGTCATACATTTTAAAATATTATGTCACAATAACTTTATCATCAATTTATTTTAATAATTTAGCCAGTTAATGGCTGGTATCTGTACATATCTAAAAAAAAAAAACGCATCTACATTATGCATATGTTAAAGAAAACTATGAGCTACAACAATAACAACAAAGCATAAATATAGTTGCTATAACAATAGCTAAAAATGTGTCTACATAGAAAATAAGCCAGTGGGAGACCAGCCCAGGGAATAATGCTTTGAAGGCAAAAGGAATTGAACACTTTAAAGGGACATTATAGTCACCCAGACCACTTCAGTTTAATGAAATGGTCTGGGTGCCAGGTCCCTCAGGTTTTAACCCTTCAGATGTAAACATATCAGTTTCAGAGAAACTGCTATGTTTACATTAGGGGTTAAGCCAACCTCTAGTGGCTGTCTTCTGGACAGCTGCGAGAGTAGCATCTGCGACGCTGAGTGCGAATTTTGCATCAATTGCGCAGAACGTCCATAGGAAAGCATTTTGAAATGCCTTCCTATGGACTGTTTTAATGCATGCGGGGCTCTTGCTACGCATGCGCATTCCGCTCCAATCAGGAGCTGACGTCGGTGGGGGAGAGAGGTCTCCAGCGCAGAGGGAGACGGCACTGGAATAAGGTAAGCTGCTGAAGGGGTTTTTAACGGGAGGGGGACCCTGAGGGTGGGGGCACCCTCAGGGCACTATAGTGTCAGGAAGCGGTTTTCCTGACACTATAGTGATCCTTTAAAGGACCACTATAGTGCCAGGAAAACATACTAGTTTTCCTGGCACTATAGTGCCCTGAGGGTGCCCCCACCCTCAGGGTCTCCCTCCCGCCGGGCTCTAAGGGGGGGAAGGGGTTAAAGTTACCTCTTTCTCCAGCGCCGGGCGGGGAGCTCTCCTCCTCCTCTTCTCCTCCTCGGCTGAATGCGCATGCGCGGCAAGAGCCACGCGTGCATTCAGCCAGTCTCATAGGAAAGCATTCACAATGCTTTCCTATGGACGCTGGCGTCTTCTCACTGTGAAAATCATAGTGAGAAGCACGGAAGCGCCTCTAGCGGCTGTCAATGAGACAGCCACTAGAGGCTGGATTAACCCATAGGTAAACATAGCAGTTTCTCTGAAACTGCTATGTTTATAGAAAAAAGGGTTAACCCTATCTGGACCTGGCACCCACACCACTTCATTAAGCTGAAGTGGTCTGGGTGCCTATAATGGTCCTTTAATACTCAAAGCAATCTCTGCCATAAACCAACTTACATAAAGCCTTTTGTGTGATGCCTAAAACATTTCCTGCACCAACACAACCTAAGCTCGCTACCAAGTATAGAGGTCACTTTTTCAGCTACTTCTAACTATAGTGATTAGGCAAAAATAAATGAATTAATTAATATTGCTTAAGCAAGTGAGATGATAAAAAAGAGATACATTATTAACGCAAAATTGTGTTAAGTAACAGATACTCTGACTTTAAAAACACAAACTGATATTTTACATTTATGGGTTTTACTCTAGAGTAGAGGTAGACAACCTTCGGCACTCCAGATGTTGTGGACTACATCTCCCATACTTCTCTTACATTCATAATGCTGACAAAGCATCATGGGAGATGTAGTCCACGCCATCTGTAGTGCTGAAGGTTGCCAGCCCTGCTCTAGAGTTTTGTCCCCCTCCAGCATCTCATCTTTTATCAATTTTGTAAGCTGTAATGTTTAAATACACATATGATTTATACAGAGTTATACAGAGTTATACAGAGTTTTGAGAACTGGCCAGTGAAAAATAGCTAAGATAAAAATTACAACTCCCTGACAAATTCCCTATTTATTGAATTACCCTGCATTTATGCAATTATGCTACATAGAGTACTAACATATAATATTAACAAAAAAAGAAAGAATGAAAGTACTACTAAAAAAAAGTGTTACTTATAATTACAGTTCTAACTGCCATATACTTATAACTACAGCTGGGATTATAACAGCATCGGGTTTTAGAAATGGAATTTAAGGTTTACATTACATTTATTCTGATACACATAGCAAGCACTTCATATATTGATCTTGTTTTGCTTTGAAATACTGGATGCTTCTTCAATTTGACTATTTGTTTAGTGATACACTGTTTCTGGAAATATGACAGTACAGTGTTAACGCAAATGACATTCCAAGCACCTGTAAAAGAAAATTAAACATTTAGGTGGGAGGGCAGCTTTACATTTCAGCACTGTGGGTTTTATTTGTGTGTGAAATTTAATATGCACTATAGTAGCAAAGCAGACATGTATAAATGAGGGTAAATGTATAAATGTACTTTTCATAAACACAAAATGTGCTTAGTATTACATTTTTGGAGGGTGTTGACCAGTGGTTAGGGGTCTGACATTGCCCAGAGCATATCTTTTCCTCATTTTAACCCTCTATTTTCCATTGGCTACTCATATTTCACATTTTCCCGCTTTTACCTAATCATCCTATAATTCCCACATCCATGTCTACTTCTGGTCTTTTCCATGTAAAGCCTCATTACCTACTTGTTATATCAGTCCCCTATATTATACCACTTATCTTCATCTGTCTTTCTCCCCATTCCTCACATCTTCATCTCCCTTCTGTCTTTCACATTTATACTATTGAACTGTAGAATATAAAACCAACAAACAAATATGTTTTCCTGTAAAGATGTTTGGTCAGGAAATGCTAACACATTTGCACAACTGAGACTATTTGAGGTGTAGGTAGATACTTATTCAAATTAGAAGCATTTTAAATTCCTATATTCCTATTTAATATAACATATAATATATAACATACATCAGCGACATCCAAAAACTGTCACACCAAGCTGATTAATAGTGAACAGATCATCAGTGCAGATGTGGTAAAAGTATCAAATTTATGGTCTTCCCATACATCACTCATGATCCACAGTTGATTCAACTTCTGAGATAGAAGCTCATTTGCAGTTGACCGAGCAATCAGGGAATAGTAGCTTTTCTTGCAGGAAACAATAGACTTATTTTATTCTATTGAGAGCTTAAAGGAACACTATAGTCACCTAAATTACTTTAGCTAAATAAAGCAGTTTTAGTGTATAGATCATTCCCCTGCAATTTCACTGCTCAATTCACTGTCATTTAGGAGTTAAATCACTTTGTTTCTGTTTATGCAGCCCTAGCCACACCTCCCCTGGCTATGATTGACAGAGCCTGCATAAAAAAAAAACTGGTTTCACTTTCAAACAGATGTAATTTACCTTAAATAATTGTATCTCAATCTCTAAATTGAACTTTAATCACATACAGGAGGCTCTTGCAGGGTCTAGCAAGCTATTAACATAGCAGGGGGTAAGAAAATCTTAATTAAACAGAACTTGCAATAAAGAAAGCCTAAATAGGGCTCTCTTTACAGGAAGTGTTTATGGAAGGCTGTGCAAGTCACATACAGGGAGGTGTGACTAGGGTTCATAAACAAAGGGATTTAACTCCTAAATGGCAGAGGATTGAGCAGTGAAGCTGCAGGGGCATGTTCTATACACCAAAACTGCTTCATTAAGCTAAAGTTGTTCAGGTGAATATAGTGTCCCTTTAAAGGATCACTATAGTGTCCTAAGGGTGCCACCACCCTCAGGGTCCCACTCCCTTGGCGCTTAAGGGGTAAAACCCTTACAGCTACTTACCTTACCTCTCCTCAAACAGTCCATAGGAAAGCATTTCTCAAGACAGCCACTAGAGGTTGGATTAACCCTGCTATGTAACATAGCAGTTTCTCTATGTTTACATCTGAACGGTTAAAACCTGAGGGACCTGACACCCAGACCACTTCATTGAGCTGAGGTGGCCTGGGTGACAATAGTGTCCCTTTAATGCATGACCATTGTGCAATGCCTAATCTGTAGATACATAACTCTTTTTATAATACAATTGGCTGCATTCTAATATTTTTTCAAAAAGTTAATGCACAGTGAACTGTTTGTTGCAAATATAAGTGAAATGACCTTACCTCAACAATTGAGATGCAAATAGTTATAATTCCAACATACCAGAAATTGTCATTAAACCACTGTTCCAAAGCCTTAGAGCAACCCTAGAATGAGAAAGTAAATAAATGAGTATTTAAAGGAACAGTAATTGTAGTTAAACTAATATAGAAGAAATACATAACATTTTATCACAGATCCCTATTGAATGTCAAATCCCTGGAAATATGTATTGCTGTTTATTTTGCTCCATTTTAATAAAAATAATTACCGAATTTTGACACCTGCTAAGGAACAGATGATTGTTCCTATGTCCTGATATATAAAACCATAGAATTCAAAGAGGGTATACTTTTTATTTGCCATGACTGTAGCTAGAAGTTCTGTTTTGTCAACATTACGTGAATTGCAGAACTTTATAGTATAAAGGCAAGTTTACTTATATTCTACTGATTTTGGTAGCAGAGTATTGTTTATTTTCCCATGTCATATTTAAAACCTCATCAGTTAGAAGTTGTTAACAGCTATTATTGAAAAAGAAAAATATCAATACTAACTGTTGGGAAATATCTCGTGCATTCTGTATTTTCACAACAAGACTTGGGGATGTTGGTTCCCCAGTCTGAAGTTCCATTGATTCCACAACATTTCACCTGAAAAAAAGAAAAACAATTTTTGTTATGTTTTATATGATTGAGATATACTGTGTGTTTATCTGTACTTGGTTATATTAATTCTATAGCAGTTACATTTATATTTTCAGACCATTGTTCTTGTAGAGCATTTCACATTATGTAACATTTCCTTGCTGGATAGAAAACATTAGGGTTTATGTACTTGTAATGCCGATACTGTCCGGGTGGCAAAGGTCACTATTGTGACTGGGCCCTGGAGTTCTGCCTGTCAAGGAGGGTACAGGCCAGACAGGGACCCTCTTGCACACCCCCTATTTAACCATTTAATATCTGTATGGTCCATGAGATCATGCAGTGCAGGGCTTTAACACCCAGTGACAGCATAGACCGTCATGCAGTAAAAGTAGCAGCAGGGGATTAAATCTCTGTTGGTACCAAGAAATGCCAGGTATTTTTCGATACCTGGGGTCTCCTTTGTCAGCTGGGGCAACATTTGGCCAACCCAGACTGACAAATCAGCTGTGTGCAGCGCTATCATTCAGCCACAGTATTTCTATCACTATCTCCAGCCTCCTGCATCGGAAAAAAGAGAACCACCAGGTATATTTTAAAACATGGGGGTCCACTCTGCCAGTTGAGGCCACAGTTAGTGGCCACAGACTTACAGGAGAGCTATGAGCAGCACTTTAAATCCCTTTTAATGCCACGGTAGCATGATCACTGGGGTAATGTCCTCCCCCAGCCTAACCCCCCATTTGTCAGGTTCTCCCAGTGTGCTTTTGAGGCACTCTGCCAGATGCCCTACATCGACCTGTGTGTGCTGCAGAATGAAAGGGAACTCTCCCTCTCATGCTGCAATCACATAGTACTGTAGACTCACAATGTGTGAGCTAGGAGCTAGTACTGACATCAGCCGAGGGACTCTCTTGAAAGGTGGGATTATCACTGGGATTAGAGGGTTGGATAGGACTGTGCAAAAAGGTAGGATTATGGGTTAGAATGTGGGCTGGATATGAGTGCTCTGGGAAAGGACAAGAGAAACTCAATAGCTAACCCTTCGGTTAATCCCCACTCAGGTCTTAAATATTATTTTGCATTACAGAGTGATTGGCATATCAGATTGATCCCTCCCATAAGGGCAATCCAGAATCAAAATGCCAGCAAATTCTATCTGCACAAGAGACACAGCAAACCCAGATGATCTTTTCAGCCAATTTAAGCCTCATCTATCCTCTGTTCAAAAAGTTTGGGACCACTAAAAATGGCCCCAGCTGACCGAGAGGAGCCCCAGGTATCCATTGATACCTGGAACTCTATGGTGTGAGTAAGGACTTAACCCTGCTCACACTAAATCTGCAAAGTGTGTCTTTATGCCCTAAAAACATTAAAAGCCATTATAGTTAGGACATAATGGCACTTCCTAATGTCCTTAAGCAGTTAAAATCCTGTGAGTGCTTTTGTAATGTTGACAGACTAGCCTTCTCTCCCCACCTACACCAAGGAGCCTTGAGCCCCCATGATTCTAAAGCCAGTTCACCAGTTGTCCTTCCTTGCTACTAACCACTGCATATGGGAACAACCCACAAGACTTGCCGTTTTGAAAATCCTCTGACCCAGTCATCTAGTCATCACTAATTCGAACTTCAACAACTGACTGTTCACTTGCTGCCCAATATATCCCGTCCATTGAAAGGTACAATTATAACAACATAATCAATATTATTCACTACATGTGTCAGTGGTTTTAATGCTGTGACTGATCATGGTATGTTTTAATCAGCATGGTATATTTGACCCATCTATGGAGATCACCTTTTCACCTTTTTCAAATAAAAAATGACAATTCTGCCTAATTACCATTGCATATAAGCTTTCATTTCTGTATTTCCATTATTTGGTTATCAATTTCAGGCATCCTAAAAATTTGGTCTGCATTGAAGGTAATTCGGAGCATGTAGTAGAAAATCTAGATATTGAGAAATCTTATGAGAAATGTCCAGTTTTTATAGTCAGATTGCCCCTAGATGGTACTGGATTCTTTTTTTTTATAACCTAGACCAGGGATAGGCAACCTTTGGCACTGCAGATGTTTTGGACTACACCTCCCATCCTTTGCCAGCATTATGGCTGCAAGAGCATTGTGGGAGATGCCGAAGGTTGCCTACCCCTGACCTAGTCCATAATCATTTGATTAAGTAACTCTGACAATTGTTTGTATGATTAGGAAGCACAGCAAATGTTTATGGGCATTCTAGTTCAGTTTAAAACTTTTTTGTAAGCAAAATGTTAATAAGTGACCTACAGCTTCCAAAAAAACCTGATATGCTCATGAAGTCCTGCTCCACAAGGTTCTATGGAATATATTTAGGAATAAAGTACCTCAGAAGGTTAGTAGAGCATCCTGATTGGCTGATCACTACATTGTCTGGCAGTGTTAACAGCTTGTAATATAAATCCTGGGATTTCATCGCAAATGCAGCAACCTCAGATGAGAGTATATTTATTCATCATATAATATGATCAGTTTTGTGTTTTTGTATAATTTTAAGTGTTTTGTCTATGCAATGCATTACTTAAAGAAACCCGCTGGAAACCAATAATCACTTAAAAGGATATGCATCACTTTGAGACAACAACTTTATTCACAAGTTTTAGCTTTGAATAAGACAGTTGCCTCACTCTGCAGGCTGAAAATATCAGGTAAATAGGATTTTTTCATATTTTCCTGCATCTTTTTCCTTATACTTTTCACATCCACTCAACCTATCTAACCAATCAGTGTCCTATCCCTAGGAATGCTGGAAAAGGGCATTGGGCATACCTGACAGAGTCGCACATGTGCAGTTTGAAGACTTCTTCACTTTGCAACATCCTGACAGGGGTAAAAAAAAAAAAAATAGAGGATGTGTGATCAGTGTGATTTATGCAGACCAGGCTCCAGTGTTGGTTTTCTCTCTCCCTGCTACTTTAGTCAGTGCAAGGAAAATTAGGAGTTTGCTGCCGCTACACAATTATGTTCTTTTTTGGGGGAGGGAAGGCTGAAGAAACTCCCCTAGCTGAGAGGTGTGTTCAACAATGCAATCTGACCAATTTAATAGTAAGTTTCTAAATGTTTATTACATACTATTCAAAGGGGTTTTTTTTGCTTTATTTTATTAGTTTGTATATTCGTGAAAACATGTTTGTTGGCTGGTTAAAAAAATAATTGTCAAGTGATGCATATCCCTATAAGTGCATTTGATTTGGATTTGACTTAAACTTCAAATTCATGCTGCATTTTTGCTGTAAGCTTCATATTTATGTTGTATGATTTGTGAAAAGAGAGGCTATGGCTAAGAGGCCCGAGCAATGTTGTAGAAAGCTGCACAATATGTTAGAATTTTAGCAGAACTATTGTTATTTAAATGTGGAGAAAAATATGAGTTGAGATGCCTCATTAGAAATAACAGAGCTCCATAAAGTCATTGGACATTAAGAGTTTATATGAACTCACAAACTTTAGCTTGGTAGACATTTTTTTGTGCTGAGATTAGATACTCACATTGTTTTGTATGTCATGCCATAATTGCTTTGTTTTATTGTTGGCAGTTTCTTTTCTTTGTTCTTCAAAGCTGGTTGTTAAGTGCGCCATAACATGGTCACCTACCTGGAATGAAAATTAATAATGCATACTTATTCTTCAGTCTATGACAAACCATTTACAACCCGGAGACCAAGAAAGCTATTGTGACTGACCAACACAAGGGTTTATTCGGTCTAAACATTTAGTTGTGAAAACCAAATGTAAAAATTATTGCTAAAATATTTGTCTACAGCAGGGGTAGGCAACCTTTTAGCAGCACTGTGCAGATATAGGATTGTGATGTCCCATACTGTGCCGATCCTATTTTTTTTCTTTAAATTGATGTGTGTATGTTGCCGTATTTTGCTTGTGTTATTTATACTGTAATTGCTTTGTATCGTATTTGTGTGTATATGATCTATTAGATTGAATATGTTCATTAGTAGTTTATGGTAGGGCTGTGTATGAGGGCTGCTTGTGGAATTATGTGTGGATATGTCACATTGTGTGTTTGGTAGTGTGTGTGGGCTGTTTTGAGTTTTGCATGTGAGAGGCTGCATGTGGGGTTGTGTGCATGTACTTGGATTGTTAGCGGGTTATGTTTGTGCGGATTGTGTTTATGTTTGTGTGTGGGCTGTTCCTATTATTTGTATGAGGGGAGGGTTATTTTGCATTTCTGTGTATATCTAGCAGTGTGGGTGGCTTCCCTGGGTTCCAGTGGGGACCTGGCTGGCCAGGTACAGGTCAAGGACAGGAGCAGTAACAGCAGCTACAGGCTGCTCTACTACAGTGTGGATTCCCATTCACAAGTGCTTTGAGGAAGTGATCTGAGATCACTTCCTCTATGTGCTGCAATGCATACATTGAGGATTGTCCTTCACCACCTTTTCGTATTAGCAGATATCTGAAGTTTCAACGGGACTTCTGATAGGCCAGAGCCTGTTTGGCTCTAGCAACCTTGAGTGCCGTGCAAAGACACCTTGAGTGCCGTGCATGGCACTAGTGCCGTAGGTTGCCTACCCCTGGTCTACAGCTTAGTTGGGAAATCAGATTTTTTCCCCCTAGATTTGCAAGTTAGTTTTCAATTTACTGTTGAATAAAACCCTTTTTAGAGAGATAAAAATGAACATGTTCACAGATAAGTGTGGTGCAACCAAAAGGAGAAACAACAAATGGCTTCTTGTCAGACCGGGTAGAGGACAAGAAGATCCTCTCCCACTGTCTTTTGTGGCCACCCTACATGGAGGTGAGGGGGAAAGAGACCATAAAGGGATTGGAGGAGTGGAAGAGATCACAAAAAAAGGGGGGGGACAAAGAGACACAGATGTGTAGGGGAAAGACACACAAAGTGGCTATGGAGAGAAAGAGACATACAGAGGTTGTGGTAGCAGGAGACTCTATTATTATGAGAGTAGATAGGGTAATCTTCTGCTGTGATCGTCTCAACCGGACAGTTTGCTGTCTCTGAGTTCCTTGTGTCCGACATGTTGCTTAAAGAGTGGATGGATTATTGGGAAGGGCTGGGGATGATCCGGCTGTCATGGTCCATATTGAGGGTCCATATATACAGTCAGAGGAAAATGGGGCCCAAACAGGGATTTATCAAGTGGTTATCAAAAAACTGCCCTGTTTGGGAGAAATGCGTTGTGGACTGTTTTTGATTGTATTTATTGTTTATAATAAAGGTTTATTGGCTATTTTAATTATATATTGTGCCAAAAAACTTTTAATTTATTTTCCTCATCATCTTTTACTACCTGGCATCCTGTTTTACTTCTACAGTGAGGATCTCACCAAGAATCCCAGGTGGAGATTATAACACCTATGCTGTATCAACTGAGCAGTGTTTCCTGCTCAAAAATATGTGAGTACATTCTACATAGCATTACTCCTGGTATTTTTTATCTACCCAGTAAGCACTATTGTTGCTTTTTTCTGTTTTCGGTCCTGCACTTATGTGGTGAGAACTACCTCTACCTTCCAAAATATCCTACAGGTGGGTGATCAACACCACTGCATGTGCAATACACCAGAGCTGACCTAAGCTCTAGGACATGTGAGTAGACTGGAATTCTTTTACTTTTTTATTTTTTTTTGTGAACTTATTACACTATTGGAGTTTTTTCTTTTCTTTTTCCTTTTTATGAATCCTGAGTATCCCTGGTGACCCACTTGCCTAAGAAGGAAGATACCATTAAGAACCCTTTTTTGAATTCAAGATTTTTCATTTTTTTGGGACTGCTGCTAATTTTCCTTCAGGTACCTGCTTCTACTACTAAGTGTGCTTTTTCTTTTCCTTTTTTTCTTTTTCTTTTATCTTCAAATCGATTTTTATTGAAACATAATTTTATATATAACAATAATCCGTAACCTATGCACAGGTTCAAGTTACATGCACAATCACGTAATTAATTACATATCATAATAACATATTGCATCAAAACGGCACATACTTGAGGCATAAGCCTAGAATAACAAACAATAACAAAGATAAAAAAATAACATTCAAAGACAAAGAAAACAAAAGAGAAAACCAGCCCCCATTCAGAGCAAGCAAATAAACTTGAAGAAAGGAAAATGACAATTGACAATAGTACATTATTTTCAGTGTTTCAGTTTCTGAATTAGAACAATCATTCCCACCTCTATTGTATTAACTATAATATAGTTAAAAAATTTCATACGCATCAGCAACAATTTTGTATATTAAAAACTAAAAATGTATTATATATTATTAACAGAGATACTGTCTAAAGCAGGGACTAGCCAAAAATATGTTGGTATCTTCCTAGCCAATTGGAAAACCAGACTTTTTTTTTTGACGAAATTATCAAATTATTTATAAGTTCATATTCCATATTGATTTGAAACATAATTTGATTAATCAATACCGTTTTTGGAACGGAATAGAGGTTTTCCACTGACGCGCAATGATAATTTTAACAGCGACTAAGCAATGTGTGGCAAAGCAAATATCTCTATGTGATTTAAGGTTCCAATTAAGGTGTAGAAGAGCAGAAACAACATTTTCGTTAATTTTATGAGCTGTCATAGTGGTAAAGATGTTAAATGCCCATGTCCAAAATGGTCTAAACTACAGGGCATGACCACCAAATATGAATATATGTACCCTGATAACTACCACATCTCCAGCAAGTAGGGTCATGGGAATCATACATTTTAGCTAATCTGGTTGGAGAGTAATACCATCGATGCAGAACCTTGAAGTGGCATTCAGTCAAATTTACACAATGTACATACTTGTTTAATTGAATTAAAGAAGAATGCCAGTCGTCTACTGAAATTTCAAGTTCCAATTCATGTTCCCAAGTCCTAATCAATCTAAGGGGAGTCAGTTTAAAACATTCTAAGAGAGAGGAAGTGGCAGATATAACCTTATTGATAGAATGGTAACCAAAAATAAATTCAATTTTTTTTGCATATGAGGCAGTAGATTTAGTAACATTTTTATGAATAAAAATTTTTAACCGCAGATACGTGAAAATTTCTCTGCGTGGAATATGAAAATTATCTGTGATGTAGTGAAAAGACACTATATTATTGACCTGCATTATGTCAGCAATTTTTAATTTATCGACATTGGGCCAGTTTTTTAAAGATAAGTCTTCAATAATGGTTTCAACTATATCAAGTCTACAAGTCTTTGGGATAAGATTGTTAAACCCTATTTTTTTTTTAATTTCCAACCAGTCATCTAGGGTTTGTGTCAAAGTCATTGGATTTGTTAAGGAGGCATTAATAAGAGAATCCCTAGTGACCTTCCACATAGAATATTGTAATTTATCGATGTGAACTACATCCGACTCGATCATAAACCATGGTTCAAAGGCCTGTTTGGGGTCTTGAAGGGTATATATGTGTCTAATAATATTTGCATAATATTGATTAACAATGCTTGGAAAATGTAAGCCCCCATTAGACAATTCTTTTGACTTATTCTTGGTTTTTTATGATTCCAAATAAAATTATTCATGCTTGACTGAATTAGAACTAACCACAGGTTGGTAACCTTAAGTGGGAGCATGGAAAATAAATATGTCCACTTAGGCATAATATATGCATTAATTATATTTATTTTACCCTGTCAGGATGTTTCCAGATTTTTCAATTTTTTAAGTTTAATATTTATATTTCTCACAAGAGTCCAGACATTTCTCTCCATAGTACAGGAGACATTAGCTCCTGTTACTAAACCTCCTGTTACTAAACCCAGATAAGTTATTTCTTTGTCTGTCCATATGAATTTATATGTGTGTGATAAAGTGTTTACGTGATCATTAGTCATATTTACATACAAAGCTGTAGATTTAGAAATGTTCAGCTTAAAATGTTAAATATTAGGATATTTCTCAATTTTAAACATTAAAGGAGATAGAGAGGTCTCGGGAGATGTAAGGGTAATTAACGCATCAGCTGCATGTAGTAATATTTTAATTTCAGCAGATTTCGTATGGACACCTTTAATCAGAAACTTATTCCTGATATGTATTGCCAAGGGCTCAAGAGATAAAATATACAATAAAGGGGAAAGGGGACACCCTTGGCGCGCACCATTTTTAAGTTAAAACCAACCTGCAGTTATATTTGGGCCTACAGTCCTAGCAGAGGGAGAAGAATATAAAGCTAATATCGCATTGTAGATCCACCCTGTAAAGCCAAAAACATTTAAGACTTCACTGAGGTAAACCCACCCGACCCTGTCAAACGCTTTTTCGGCGTCTAAAGACAGGTCCAGGAGGGGGAACCCTTCTTTATTAGCGAGATCTAAAATATCTATTATACTTCGGAAGTTGTTGGAAGCTAATCTACCAGGGATAAATCCTATTTGGATGAATTAGCTAAGATATTACGGTCTTAACTCTTTCAGCAACAATGGCAGAGTATATCTTCAAATCGACATTAATTAAGGCTATTGGTCTATAGCTACTCGGATCTGTGATAATTTTATTTTGTTTAAGTATCGGAATAAGATTTGATTGTAATAATTCGTTTGGAAAGAGTTGATTTAATGCTATCTGATTGAACATTTCTGTTAATGGATTTATTAAATGAGATTTCATATATTTGTAATATAGATTCTAAAAACCATCTGGGCCATGCGTTTTATTAATAACAAGTCTGTCTATTTGATATTGAACTTCCCCAGTCGAAATATTTTGATCTAGAGTTAATAGATCTTGATGGGAGACTTTCGGAATCGGTGTATTTACTAACTAGTTATGAATATCGTTTAGATTAGGGGACATTTTATACAAGTCAGAATAAAATTGATTGAATCTCTCCCCTATTTGAGATGGAGTCAAGTATATCTTTTGGCCTTCTATCAATTGTTCTATTCTATTGTTTGCGTGTTGATTTTGAAGTCTTCTAGTCAGATTTTTATTAGCTCTATTGCCTGTGTGATAATGTTTTAATTTATGGATATTGAATTTAATTTTTTTGTTCAACTTTTATGTTGATTTGTTTTTGTATGAGTTTTAGCTGAAGGTTTAAATCAGCAAAGGGAGCCTATTTATTTAATTTGGAGAGGTTGTAGAATTGAATATATAAATCGGCCTAACTCTTGCCATTTTTTATCCTCGTTATATGGGCTAGTTTAATTAAATAGCCACGCATGACCGATTTATGTGTACACCAATTATTTGCTGGAGATGTATCATTAGAGCTATTTTCTGACCAAAAGTATTTTAATAGCTGAGTCAATTCCTCCCTATTTTGGAGTCTTTAATCAGAGCGTTGTTTAATCTGCAGGTAGTACAGGGCGGGGGCGATTTATTACCAAAATCAATAAGTATTAAACTGTAGTCCGACCACAAACTCTCTCTAATTTTTATTGAATTACAAAGAGAAATCGAATTTGCATCCACTAAACAGAAATCAATGCGTGCATATGAACCGTGTGTGCTGGATTGATGGGAGTAATCCTTGTCCAGCGGATGTAATAGTCTCCAAATATCATATAAGTTATACTGTTTACAAATGTTATGCAATTTTTTGGATTGTTTTACCGTTGTTTTATCAATTGGTATTGAAGGTATATACGTCTTGTCTATTTTAGAGTCCAACACACAATTAAAATCACCGGCAACAATTAAGTGACCCTTATGGACCCTAGCAACTCTATCCATTATCGCAGAGAGTTTGGCTGTAGGATCGACATTCGAGAGATAAACATTGACAAAAGTATATATCTTTTTGTCAATGGAGCAAACCAAAGTAATAAATCTAGCCTCGGGATCTAATTCAACATATTTAATTTCGAGATTTATATCTCTATTAAAAATGATTGCAACTCCCCTCTTTTTCTTATCTGGTAAGGAAGCATGTATAATGGTAGAGAATTTGTTCCCCATCTCTGTTTAGAGCTTCTAAGCCAATGAGTATCTTGTAAAAAAGTCACTTTTATGTCATGCTCAAAAAGGGAATTAAACAGTCTGCTCTTCTTTCTATTAGTATTAAGACCCTGAACATTTACAGACATTAACTTTATCATCTATTTTTGTCAAGCATTTCATTAAGATATCTCTTGCTCTGGGGTAAAAGAAAAAAAAAGAGACAATTCACACACATCCTTAAGGGTTGGAACCCAAACAGGTCCAACCCATACATCCTTTAAACCATAAAACAAACACATGATTGCATAATCTGTAGATCTCAATAGAAATCAACAGAGACAATGTAGTAACACTACACAAAGGGTGCTAAGTGTGCTTTTTAAAAGTATTTTATAAAGTATTTTATATTGCATTTTTATTTGTTTCTATTGTAAAATATTGTATCTGCCTCATCCTTGGCGCATCCCTCCTTCCTTTTTTTTCTTTCTATTGTAAAAAGGGTTTTTGGAGAGAATTTCCTTTATTTAGGGGTGCTGCCTCTGTATCTTGCTATCTAAATCTGCTCCATTTTCTTTTCTATATTTTAGATTAGATGCACTAAACTAGAATAGTGATAGCAAAAATGGGCAAACCAATTACATACATTCTAAATATACCAAAGGAAGGAGAAAAAAGAAATTAAACATAAACAGCCCTTGAATTGTAACTTTAGTTCAAATATCTATTAAAAGAGATAATAATTGAAATACATCAACTCACTAGTCTCTTAATTCAGAATCACACCTATAGTCCAAATGCCTAATTTAAAACAGATAGCTCTGTTCAAAATATAATCATTAATCTAGTAAATAGGGAACAGGGAATATACTTGAAGGACCACTATAGGCACCCAGACCACTTCAGCTCAATGAAGTGGTCTGGGTGCCAGGTCCAGCTAGGATTAACCCTTTTGTTTTTTTATAAACATAGCAGTTTCAGAGAAACTGTTATATTTACAAATGCGTTAATCCAGCCTCTAGTGGCTGTCTCATTGACAGCCGCTAGAGGGCTTCTGCGCTTCTCAATGTGATTTTCACAGTGAGAAGACCCCATCGTCCATAGGAAAGCATTGTGAATGTTTTCCTATGGACTGGCTGAATGCGCGCGCAGCTCCTGCCGCGCATGCGCATTCAGCCGAAGAGGAGGAGAGGAGGCGGAGAGGAGGAGGAGAGCTCCCCGCCCGGCGCTGGAGGAGGAGGGCTCCCCCTAGAGCCCGGCGGCACCCTCAGGGAACTATAGTGCCAGGAAAACAAGTATGTTTTCCTGGCACTATAGTGGTCCTTTAACAAATTGCAGGGTAGAAAGATGGGGAGTTGTATGGGGTTGTTATTTAGCTGCCACAGATAGAAATGTATTAAAGTAAAGATAAACCATCAAACAATGACAGTCAGCTGGTTGTAACCAAGGAGGAATTAGATACAAAATAAACTACCAAACAAGGGAAGTGTACTGGTAGGGACTGGGATGAATCAAAATATACTCAAATGCGAGTACTAAATATCCAAGACTAGGTACTAAATGGTAATAAAAACCAAAATAAATACATTTTATTAAATACAATAGAAAAAAATATATATAAAAAAGTGCTTGTGTACAAAAGGTGAACAAAATAATAAGTACGATCACCAGTAACATTAACTTGGAACGTCCCTATTGATAGTGAGACAATCTCAATATGTACCACTAGTCTATGTAGCTCTGATATGCTAACTCTAGTGGAATATATAGATGTGTTAACAGCGTATTAATGCTTCATAACAGACTGGTAAAAGTACAATGGTAACATAGCTTGTATGAAATTAGACCTGTGACATTAGCTCGAATGTCATCATTGATACTTGTTGATGAAAGTTATAATAGCCTACCCAATAGCGGGATAGTGGTAAGTGGTAGAACGAACCTAATATAGGTATACGCATGCACACGTCTCGATATCGAGCTCCGTCTGATAGCAGCCTGGATATCAAGCTCCTTCTGATAACAGCAGGAAGGTAAGCAAGCATTAAAAGTAAATATAGAATGGGGGGAAGGTGCTTGCGAGACCAATAATAAGATGCAGAAAAAAAAATATGCAGAAGAATTAAAGTAAAAGAATTATTACGATAATTAGTCAGTCCGCGATGGCGCTAGATTTATAGTATCTCAATCTGAGCCTGAATACCTATAATTCCAATAAGTAGAAATGAGAAATTATATCATGGGGAAAGAATAGAATTTTGTTTTAAGCTACCTTACATCGGTATCACTCCCCTATATTAGTTTTTTGGAAGGGCTACAGGGACTTTGCACTAGTAGCCATGGCAAGCTTTCCTCTTTCCCTATCTCATGGAAAGCAACATGACAGTTAGTATTCTACTCGCATGATATAAATTTCTCATTTCTACTTATTCTACTTATGAGCATATTTTGATTCATCCCAGTCCCTACCGGGACACTTCCCTCGTTTGTCAGTTTTCTATTTGGGGTTACCCCCGTTACTAAGTGTAACAAGAATTTGGCTCCACCACAGCTTTTTTTTTTTCTCCAAAAATAGTGTAGAATCCGATCCAAAATTAGGCCTTTGGATTACAAGTGTGATTTTGAATTATGAGACAAGTGAGCCATTGATTTTATCTCTACTATTATGTATTTCAATAGATATTTGAATAAAAGTTAAGTTTTGAAATTAAAGGGCTGTTTACGTTTAAATTTTTTCCTTTTCCTTACTTTGGTATATTTGTCAATTTTAAGGTGTTTTGACCCAGTAGTCTTAACCTGACACATTCTCCCTGACTTATTTTGGTTTCTGTCATAAATTCTAAAAACAGAGATATGCAAATAATTTTTGCACGCAACTTGCAGAAAAATTGTGTTGGACTCAATACAAGGTGCTGCAGCAACTAAAGAACTTTAATGTAAACAAAGCTCCAGGGTTTTATGATATTCACCTATAAATACTTAAGAAGTTAAGTGTGGAAATAAGTGAACCTCTGTTTTTAATCTTTCATGATCTTTCAGGAATTGTACCAGAGGATTGGAGAAAGGCAGGTAGGGTTCCTATATTCAAAAAGGGTTCAAAATCTTTGCCTGGAAATTATAGACTTGTGGCTGTGAAAGTATTTGAAGGGTTATTAAAGGGACAGTCCAGGCACCCAGACCACTTCTGCCCATTGGAGTGGTCTGGCTGCCAACTCCCATCACCCTTAATCCTGCAAGCAAAATTATTGAAGGTTTTATAAAGACAGCCACTAGAGGGACTTCCGTGTTCTTAAAGAACGAAAAGTGTTTTAAACTACGCTGGATGTCCTCACGCTATGCATGAGGACCACTAGAATCCCCAAAATCCCCATATGAAAGCATTGAATTTCCTAAGGGGAGGTGTAATGCGCGAATGCGGACGTTGCTGCGCATGCACATTAGTACTCCCCCGCCGGCTGGTTTTAACCCCTTCAGCAACATGGAATGGGGGGTGGAAGGGAGGGGGCACTGCAGGGTCCTGCAGTGCCAGGAAAATGGATTTGGTTTCCTGGCACTGGAGAGTCCCTTTAAGTGATAATAGTCAGGAATTTATAACAACAATATTGGTAAAACTCAGCATTATTTTATGAAGCATATGTCAAACTAACTTAATTGCATTCTACGAAGAAGTAAGTAAAAGTATAGATCAGGGTGTTTCAGTGGATGTGATCTACTTGTAATTTGCCAAGTCAGTTTGATACAGTTCCACACAATAGGTTATTTTTCAAACTAACAGAAATGATCTAGATAAAAATTATTTTCTAGGGTAGACAGAGTACAGAGACTTGCCAGTAATGGAAAATGTACATGTTGGACAAAGTAATAAGTGGTGTCCTTCAGGGTTTTGTTCCAGGACCGCTTCTATTTAAGATATTTATAAATGATCATAGGATAGTAATTGAAAAACCATGTTTCAGTGTTTAGAAATGACACAAAACTCTGTAAAGTACTGTAATGTGAGCAGGATATTACTTTGCTGCAGAGGGATTTAGATAGATTGGGGGTGGGGGAATGGAAGATTAAATTTAATGTAGATAAATGCACTTAGGGGTAAATGCAGACACATACTCATCCACGGTTCCCAAAGTTTGGAAAAGGTGGAATGAACTTGATTTTTTACCATTATAGATCGTTTTTTTATAAGTTGTAGGGATAAATATTAAGCTTTAACACCATTCTTTAATAACAACTGTTTTTTTCAAAATTTCATTTACAAATTATTGAGTTCAGGTGGATCCTAGTGAGTGAACGTCATTGAGTTTCTCTTTGAGATTTTTGGGGTTTATTTTAAAAAATCATGAGCACACACACATGTACATGACCAACTTGACAAAACTACAGTTAAGTTTGTCCTTAATTAGCCCTGCAATGTATATGCTTCATTCAAGAAGAATTTATTGAAGATGTTGAAACACAGTAGTGGTTTATTTTAGCAAGAATGTGACGTAGGAATAAAAAATTAAAAAAAGAATTTTAAAAAGCTAATGTTAAGCAGTTAGTTTTTAGGTTTTAAAGCTAGCACAGTTGCTTAACTATATGACAATATAATACATGAGATTTTACACAACCAAGGGCACACTTACCTTTTTTTCATAAACGTAAAGTACAATTGCCAATACGACTTCAATTATAAGGATTAACAGAAGCAAAATGAAGAACTGGAAGAAACAGAATTACATTTAGTCGTAACATTTCCAAAGCGTAATCCTTTTAAAGGAAAACTCTAGTGTCCCTCTGCCCCACTACCCCCTGTGGCAATTAATGTGTTAAAACCCTTTAAAACACTCACCTTATTCCAGTTCTGTAGTCCCTCGACGCTGGATCCATCTCCGCCTCCTCCAGTGTCATCATGGGGAGGGGACCTAATGCACATGCGCAATGCATCAGTGACCACATTAGGTCTTAGCTCAATGCTTTCCTATGGGGGATTTGAAGACACTGGATGTCCAACGCAGGATGTCCTCATGCATAGCGTGAGGATGTCCAGTGCCGTTTTACCAAATTAAATTCCATGAATAAGCAGGAAATGATACTAATGGCAGTCTTAACCCTTCAATCTGAGTGCCTGTAGTGTCCCTTCTATATTCAATCTGTAATCTCTAGAATCTTAATATTCTGTTTACGTATGTCCTATATTTAACAAATTTTATTTTATATATATAAATATCTATATATATACATATATATATCTTAAAATAATGTATGCAATGTGTGTCCTGTCTGTGCCTGGATTAACCCCTTAAGGACGGCAGGCGGGTGTGCTATGCCATCCTTGGGGACCCGGCTCTAAACACTGGCATGCAGCATAGCACGTTCTCGCCGTCCTATGTACTTACCCGGATCACCGGCGATCGCGATGGGTGGACTTACCTGCCATCCCAGGGAGTCCCCCTGCTGCCATTCTGACCCTCCTGGGCCATGTGATCGTGAGGTCCTTGCGAGGACCTTACAATCACATCGACGGAATATCCGTCCATAGCAGTGCCAGCAGGGGGAGTGCCTGGAATGACAGGTAGTCCCCCTGCTGCCTGTAAAAAGTAAAATAAAGTTTAAACACAGTTTTTAATTCAATAATATATACTAAGACCATATATATATATGATCTAAGTATATATATATATATATATATATATATATATACACACATAAACATACACTGTCTAAGTGTATTTTAATATTAATATATGTATATATATATATATTAATATCAAAATATACATAGAATGATATTGATTAAATATATATATATGATTATATATATATATATATATATATATTTATATATAATATAAATTAAATAAATATGTAAATAAGTTTACATTTTTAAAAAAAATACTTAAAAAATATATATGTGTGTAATTTCGTTCTAACTGTATTTTGATATTAATATATATATTGATATCAAAATACACGTAGAACGAAATAATATATATATCTATATACATAAGTATATATGTATATATCAATATATATATACCTATATATAAATTATTTTGAAAAATAGTTCACACACAAACAAATATTAACGCTAACTTTGGCCAGTGTTTGTTACTAAGTGGCTACTAAAAAAGACTGGACATACTCCATTTGCAATACCTTGGGTAGTCTACTATTGCAAATGGTATGCCATCATAGGGGTAATTCTCATTCCTGGGTTACAATACGGTCTCAAAGGCAATGTAACCAATCTGGCGAATTTCAATGTGAAAAAACTGAAAAATGGTACATGCTATATTTGACCCTGTAACTTCCCAAAACTCCATAAAACCTGTACATAGGGGCTACTGTTTTACACATGAGACATCGCTGAATACAAATATGTGTATTTTATTGCAGTAAAAGCAAACAGTATTATGACATTCACAGTTAAAATGTCATGCAGAACTAAAAAAAATCATTAAAATCTTATTTTCTCCCATTTTTTTTTTATATTTTATATTTTATTCATATTAAATTATGTTTAATATGTGATTGCTAAATATTTACTACTAGAAATCTAAAAAAAACTGTGCATCACGTGAAAGAAGTATTATTTGTATTATTTAATGATGGAATTTCCAGAAAAATGTTGCTTCTCCTTAAAAAGAAAAGATCACAATCATCTCTTTCTCATATTTAAACATGAAGGACAATAATGAATATTAAAACTAATGGACACCATGCATGTTTCCTGTTAGCAGAGGTGTAACAAAATCATGATGTACTAGGGGGCAAGTCCTTTATTTCCCCTAAAAAAATCTCAGTTTTCCCATATTGGTTATTTTGAGTTAGATTTATTCTTACCGCACCAATGGATTAATTTATTTATTTTGCAACATTAATTGGGGAACGCTGGACATGTCTGTTTCTGTGGTTTAAAGGTATATCTCACTTTGTTTATTGGCTACAAAACTGACACTGTCTAAGTGGGTCTGATACAGAGGTGGCTTATTATCAAGCACAAGTTAAATGAACTTAAAGAATTGCATAAGCTCAATTTGTAAACTATTACAAATTTAATGAGCCGAGATAGTTGCTTCTGCTGTTGCACAGGGTATTAGGGAAATGTTCATGAAAATGCAGGATTTAACCCTTGGTGTGGCTGCTACATAATAAAAAAACACAAAATACAGTAAAAAAAAAAAAATTCAGTATTTTTGTAAATGTTTCCTATAGGCCTATATGTACTATTTTTTTTTAAACAAGTTATTTTTAAAGTCAGTGCATTAAAATGGCCATATTCCTGTATAAAATAATATTAAAATACTTACTGTAAGAAGCAGGCATTTGTTCTCTTTAATTGCACCCATGCAGCCGATGAATCCAAAAACCATAATGATGCATCCAGTTACAATCAATATATTGCCGACAGTTAACGAGGATGTTTCTGGAACTAGGGTTCCATATATATCATTTACCAAATAGTAGATGCCCATAGCGATGATAGAACATCCAGCTACCTAAAAAATAAGAACACATTGTGTTTAAACATTCTGTTACAGTTGGGGTAAATATCTACAACCACAAGTACTTTTGGACATTTTCCACACAGACCTGTCAGACTTATATAGTATACATCTCAGACATGTAGAAACTTCTTACAGATGTCTATGCAGAGCCGTGAAGCATTTATTAATTAGACATAAAAAAAATGTCACATGGCTAAGATGAACAATTTGTACTAAAGGTGTGCTTCAGGGGGATTTGGGGAATTATTAGTTGAATTTATGATTTGTTGATAGTCATTTGTACAATAGATTAACTCCTTAAGGACATAAGCAATTGTCCACATTATGAACTTAAATAAATCCTTCATTTGAGCTATAGGCTTGTTCCATTGCAATTTAAAGGCAGCCAGACCACTGCAGCTCATTGAAATGGTCTAGGTGCAGTGTCCCAGTCCCACTTAGTCCTGCAATGTGTGTCATTGGAATGTTTGAGAAACTGCAATAATTACATTGCGGGACTAAGTCTGCCTCTAGTGACTTCAATCAGACAGCCACTAGAGGCACTTCATGTTTGCCAGGGGATTTTTGCTTGCCTAACAGATGCTAGATGTCCTCACGTTCTGCATGGGGACATCCAGCATTAGTTGAATCCCCAATTGGGTGAGTACAGAAAGAGTTTTTTTTATCCCTTTCAATGCTGGAGGGTACATGTAGGGGGTGCAGAGGAAACTATAGTGTAAGGAATATAGATTTGTATTCCTTACACTATATTAACCCATTTAAGGATTTCTCTTCAGTTGCCCCCATATATATATATATATATATATATATATGGGGGCAACTGAAGAGAAATCCTTAAAGGGTTAATATACATATATATATATATTATATCATTCTTGAAATGGCTTTCATTTAATATCCTATGTATGCCCAACATAACATTATGTGTGCATAAAATGTTACAAATGGGAAAACATTTAGAAAAAAAGACATTGTTTACATTTTTGCTAATATAATATATATATATATATATATATATATATATTACTTTCTATCTATATATGTATCTATATTGGTTCTTGATTGGATCAAAATGCAATAGCAAACTGAATTATATATGTTTTTAAGCTAACTTACCCAAAATATTAAATTAAAAACAAACATCATATACTTCAGCACTCGGATGCATTCCTGAGACATGGTGATTTTTCTCCTGTAAGGTAACACAAATAATGATTAATATATATTCTACCATAAATTACTTGTATTAAAAGGACATTCTCGTATCTGTGAGTTATTTTACATTCAGATCTGGATTTGCCTCTCTCATGCCCAGTTTTAACCCTAGTCCTTTATAAGTTGTTTGTTTTATCTGACTGGATGGGTGATGAGGCTAGCCATGTTCTAAGAGTAGGAGGATTTGTTTCATTTCAGAGTATGTGGCTGGGTTGGTGGGCATAAGTGGCATGTCATGTGTGGCTTAATTGCAAATGTACAGATCTCGCTCTCTCTCTTTTTTTTTAAATCGGCAACTCACAAGGATTTATTTCACAGGGGGCATTTCAACATTTTCAAGCTGCTGTTTTCCACAAATTCTTTCTACGGTTTGTGGTGAATGTATTTGCACATACATTACATTGTGGCTGTGTATTTTGAGTAGGGTGTACATGGACCAATTCCAGGTCACTATATGTCCTGTGTATATTAACTCCACACAAATAAAGAGTTTTCTTTTTTTATGGGACATGTACAAAACAGTTTGTAAGTCTTAAACTAAAGGACTTCTCTATTAACTTCCTTGGTAGATCATTAATTGCAAAGGAGTTAAGTTCATTTTCTCATGTACGTCATACACATAACTTTTATTTTAGAAAGTAGCGGTTTCACCACTTCCTGTGTTACAGCTACTGCTACTGGCCAGTCACATTCTCTGCCTGGGCTAGAATCTGTTTTCTTTCAAAGTCACAGAGCACTTCTCTTTTTATCTGGGTGTTGTGCTTCCACAATAGACAATGAGTGTATATTTTGAGCTATTAGACTTTGCATCCATAAGTTTGCTATTTTTCATTTAGTGCACTCATGTATATTGCTTGCTTAAAGTCAGGCCGGAGACATACTCTAAGTAGTAACTCTGCTAGGTACACCTGCACACCTGCTCATCAAAGCAAATATCTACTCAGCGTATCATCTAAAAGATAATTCACTGCGTAAATGCATGAAGACATAGGCCCAATTGATTAAGTTCTCTACAAGTAGGTTCAGAGATTTCTCTGAAACACTACTGACTATCAGACACTGCACTACTCTCTGGGAAGGGTAAAAGGCAGGAAAATGCAGACTCTGAATTTAAAATGTCCACGAGAAACTTGCATATAATGGCCATAATATGCAAATTCAGTAGGTTAAACATACAGGCATTTGTATGTTTTCACAAGCCAATATGAAGTTCTTCAGTCATGGTGACATTGCCAGATGGAGTATCTGTTAAACCAGTTTTAAAATGTTATAAATAATTGTCTGGAACGAATAAGCAACATCCAAACATCTATGCAGAAAACTGCAGAATGTTGGATCTTTAGTGATTATGAAAGGTGGTGTAAAGGAATACCCCATCACTTGGTTCGGTAACTTTAGTTTCTTTTCTGTTCATTTGCTGGTTCGAACCCACGTAGTTCGGTTCCCCAACGAGGACCACCCCTGTACCTCATTAGAACATGAAACACTAAGTATCCAGTATGAAACCACAACGGAAGCTGTTTACTAAAAGGCTCCCCTGGGTGGCCACCATTTCATGTAACCGAACACACGTGGTCGACAGAATGGATGGCGACCATCTTGTCTCCCGAACGCAGGCAGCAGTACCTGGCCGATGAGTGTCTGGAACTTATTTCGGCTAGCCACTCCTGCGAACACTGGTGAATTCGTAACTGCTGTCCGTTCAAGTTCCCGATCACCTATACGAACGGTGTTCAAGAGATATAAACTACCGAATGGGGGGAGCATTCCACACTTAAAAGCATTCAGATATTGTATATGGTTTTCCTATAAAACCCCTCGAACTGAGACCGTTCGTTGCCACGATTTCTCTGGAACTATTTTGGGCTTCTACCTTGTGGCTGGCCAGTCAAAACTGTACCTCGATGGAAATTCCAAACCACCAAACCGATCGGAGTGCTTTTTGGATATGTTAAGCACTCACATCAGGGCTATCCGGGTATGTGAGGGGTTTCCATGTATTTTGGGGGTACCTTTGGGGTGTTAAAATGTTTTATGTTTTGGGGGGAGATAATTAAGTTGTAAGTTTCCTGACTCAATTATCTTTCAGGCACAGGGAGGAGTTTACTGTATGTATAAATTGAGAGTGCTTGTCTGCTTTAAACAGATCTACTCCCAGCATTCAGTCTCGACTAATGTGTGGGGGAAAGGCGATACCAGTGATATATACTTTCATGAGTGCTAGAGCTATGTTATTTTGGGAAAGGGAGTCCGTGGCGACGATATACTGGCAGTCCGCCACAGGTGGAGTTTGGGAGGGACCAAAAACTGTTGTGGGCTCAATCACCAAGTATTTTTTTTTTTACATTATTTATTTGTGAGTGCAAAAATAGACAAACAGGCTTGGGGTGCCCCAACGGCGGACCACAAGCATAACGTAAGACAAAACATTTGGGACAATTCGAGAAAACATGCACATTTTATTATGATATAATAGTTAGTTCTAGTTAGACTGCTATGTCTAGTGTATGGTTGAGTATTATACAACTGAACTATGGTGTCAAAGCATCAAAACAGTAATTGGAAGGCGAGTCAGCAAGCTAGGCTAAGAAGACTACTTGTCAATTGAAGCTAAGACACATTTAGGTGAGTAATTCTAGACATGGGGAGTGCTAGCACTTTAAAAGTAGATAGGAAATTTAGCTGAATACTGTAGGACAGAACCCTGGCATTTAAACACCCCTGTGGGTCACAATAAAGGAAAGTCAAATCCATTCTCATCATGGGGTAAGGATAGTCCCCAGGTATTTTTGTATAGCAATTCCCCTAAAGAAGGAGAGCTGGAAATATAGCATTGGTGCACAGATTGTGTATGCTTACCATTCTCACAAGTGAGCAAAAACTATTTTGAGACCTGAGTAGGGATTTACCGAAGGGCAAGTTACTGAGTTTCTCTAATCTTTTGTTCGTTCTCAGAGTTCTCATATTCTTTGTTTTTCTTGCAATGCATTAACTTGGCTCTCTTTAAGTTAAAAGGGTATGGACCCCGTGCTCACTGTGCCTAGTGGGGTAACAGCTACACCTCACTGACGAGGCCTAAAAATGGCCGAAACGATCATCTCGGACTGCTGTATCTCTTGTGCAGAGTGAACATGCTGGCATTTTGGTTTTGGAATGCCCTTAATAGGGATCAAACTTATATGCTTCAGAAAAGTTCTCTCTGAAATAGCACAAGTAAGCAAAACATATGTTGAGACCTGAGCGGGGATTTACGGACATGCTAATGTGTTTCCCTAAGCTTTTGTCTGTTCTCAGAGTTCTCTTGTTCTTTGATTTTAAAGGACCACTCTAGGCACCCAGACCACTTCAGCTTAATGAAGTGGTCTGGGTGCTAGGTCCCTCTAGGACTAACCCTTTTTTTTAATAAACATAGCAGTTTCAGAGAAACTGCTATGTTTATGTTAGGGTTAATCCAGCCTCCAAATCGTCTAGTGGCTGTCTCATTGTCAGCCGCTAGAGGCGCTTGCGTGCTTCTCACTGTGAAAATCACAGTGAGAAGACGCAAGCGTCCATAGGAAAGCATTGTAAAAGCTCCTGCCACGCGTGCGCATTCGGCCGAAGAGGAGGGTCGGAGGCGGAGAGGAGGAGGAGAGCTCCCGCCCGGCTCTGGAAAAAAGGTAAGTTTAACCCTTTTCCTCTACCCAGAGCCCGGTGAGAGGGGGTCTCTGAGGGTGGGGGCACCCTCAGGGCACTATAGTGCCAGGAAAATGAGTATGTTTTCCTGGCACTATAGTGGTCCTATAAGTAGAAAAACCCAACTCTGTAATAGTGTATTTAAATATACATATAATAACCTATTATAAATGACAATTCTCCTTTCGGGAAGACAATTTTACGAATTCCTTGTTTTATGTTCTATGCTCTTATGTATGTTCTAATACTTTTTGTTTTTTTGTTGTTTTATTTCACACTTATTGCAGAGAACAGAATTCTGCCTCTGTTCTAATCTAGGCTTGATAATTCCTAAGGATCAATTGCGTCAGACTTTCCCGTACAATGTAATAAAGCAATTAGCAGAATTCTTAATCATGCTATTGTATTAGAGCACCTTGAAGTGGTCATTGCTGGTAATTTGGAATACATATTTTTTATAGGTGACATCATTATATTATACCTGATGTCCATTATTTGGGCATGTGGTTATTAGTACTCGCACAAATCAACTCATAGAAGATAAGGACATCATTCTTGTTATAAAAGATTGAACATATAAGAAAATGGAAAGAACGAAAAACTAAATATACTTTTTAAAATTATTTTCATTGGCATTTTGCCAAAAGCACCAAAATAGATACATTCATTACCTATTGAATAACACTTACCAATGTTTCTATATTCTCATTTCCCTGTTTAATTCCTTTTCATTTCTGCTACTACTTGCTGCTAGTGTCATGCAACACGATTTCATATCTAATAACATGCACTGATAATTGTCATACTCCCTCCAAAGGAATAGAGACACCATATTGTCTAAAACAGCAACTCAACGACCGAGTAAGCTCCTATTCTCAAAGGATCTTTATAGTTTTACATGTATTATTCCTGATGTTATGTTAGTGTGATCTAGGCTGATCAGCCTAGGGTTGTAGTTGAAACAGGGTATTAGCCCTGTAGGTCATTGCTCCCATAATTTGGTCTCCAGAAGTTAGCACAGGAGATCAGATACAGCAATATGCTGTTGATTATGAGATTCTAACTGATTGTCCAAAGGTTGCAGTAAAACAGATCAAATTTAATTTTATAAACAAAATTTATATATATAACTTCCATTATCATCTAAAAATAATAAATTATTTATTTGTCCACATACTTAATAAATTATTTTTTCTATTTTATTTAAGAGCTGAAGCAGGTAAACAGCCACTGTGGGCAGACTTAGAGCTGCAATTTAAACATTGCAGTTCTCTGGAATTGTAATGTTTAACATTGCAGCTCTAAGTGCAAAAGGGACAGTGCACCCAGACCACTTCAATGAGCTGAAGTGGTCTGGATGCCTACAGTGTCCCTTTAAGCAAAGTGCTTAGGGTGGATTCATAGATTTTTAGTTCACATATCATTAAAAAAAATTATTGTTTGATTGTGTTTCCTTAGGTTATTAAGTGGTTAAATAGATGGTGCACAATTTTTATATAATTAATATTATAATTACCATTGTAATATATAATTACTGTAATTACTGTATATATTCGTGTATAGATATATACAAATAAAACTAATATACAAAACACGTAATAAGATTAATGATTAAAGATAATAAAAAGAGTTGATAGAATAATTAAAATTAATTATAAGTCTAATTAAAAATAATAAAAAATATAAAATAGGGGGAGGAGCCTAACCACCGGGCTGGAAGGACGTGCTGAGAATCAGCTCCTGACAAAACGCAACATATTTAGGGGAGAATACCCCAAAAATTGGCGCGTTCACCTGCCGAAGGAGACGGGTCGGTGAAACCCAGGGTCATCAGTTGATACTAAAATCAAGACACACACTTCCCGGGAACCCACAAGATGCATATGAGGCCTACCACTGCCTCCTCGGTGCACTCGCCTCCTTCCCCCCCCCCATTGGACCGGCGGGGTTTTCCCGGTCCTCACTGGACACCAGGAGCAACCAGCCGAGACAGTACTACAAGCCTGAACCTGAAACACAGTTGTGTAGCCCCCCACATGGCGCACATAAGATGGCGACTTACAGCACAGTGCACATGAAGAGCATGCAGCCAACGCAAAAGCAACAGTATGGCCCCTTGCAGAGTCTAGAGGCGATTTTTAACCTCTTCTGGGACAAACTCCTGGAACGGCAGCGAGCAGCCGAACCGAGATGCCTGAACCACAAACGGCAGGTGAGCGGAACCGGAGGCAGCAGGGAGTGAGGCAAAAACCCTTGGGCCCAACGCTATCACATCCACTCACCCACATCCTACCTGGCCCACCCGGGCTGTGAGCCACAGGGCAGAAAGCCCGGAAGCATCACCCACTGCTACAGAGGCACAAGTGTCGCAAGCGACAGAAGACCACCTGCCCCTCTGTTACTCCCGCACATGGAGAAAACTCGGGCTCCAGAGGTAGCCGAGTTTGTGGCCAAGAGATGCAGGCCTGCACACCAGCCTGGGGCTGGAGGGACACCCTCACTAGCATCTGCACAGCGGCAGACCGCTGAGGGCCCCTGACGGGCACCAACCGTTTCCATAAAGAGGGCATTGGATGAAAGAGACTTTTCCAGCGGCCTCCTGATCACGTTGCAAGAAGACCATGCAATGATACTAGCCCTACCAGGTCACCTAAACAAGACTGAAGTTTATTGGACGGCTTACCACTCAAGAGGACTCCAGACCACAGTGAAACTTAAGCTTAACATTAACCTGTACGTAGCTCAGCATGTTTATTTTACATTATTTCATGTAGCTTGTATCCGAGCCACATAACCCACCTTGCACTCAGCCTGTACATTCACTAGTTACAGTAGACTGGGGGCACCTCTATTATGGTAATTCATGTTTATCTTACATTATCAAACACATTTTTGCAAGCAGCTACTACTTGGTAGCACTTATGCACTGAATTAGTGAAGGTTTATTTAATTTTATTTACAGTTCAGGAAGGGAGAGAGATTCAGGTAGGCATCTGAGGTCAATCCACAGTGCCGAGGTAGTTAGGACAGACCTACTCTAAGAAGTCTTAGGTTTTGGGGCTGCAATGGAATCTTTTCTTTTGGGGTAATTAACTCCTTCCTCTTTAGTCCAAGATCCCATATTTAACCTCTAGTTATACCTGATTTTTCTGTCCGATAGCTGGGACAATTTAGAACAGTTTAGGCTTAGACCTGACTAGTGGATAAGCTGATGTTGTATTACCTAGCTGGATATTTATAGGTATTTGTGTATGTGGATATACATATACATTATATATATATATATATATAAATTTTTCTGTCTCCCTCTCTCAGTCCTGTTTTATATTCCTGTTTCCCCTTAGGATTATTAATGGTAGGACTCCCCTCCCCCACTTTCAATGTTAACTCTCCAATTTAGGACCTCTCAGTCCACTCTCGTATACACAGCTTATCGTGGGTTATTCCCTAATTTCAGGGGAGAGTAACATAGGGCATCCTTTAGTACTGATCCACTAGACCCCCATAACCCTGGGACTCTTGGATTAGCATATTTTTCCTCGCAAATTTTTACCTTAGATACATTGCTATATATAATGCATATTATTAGTGCATATTATTATTATTGTTGATGGTTCTTACAGTAATATAAAATACACAATAAACGACATTGGGTAAAAAAAAAACATTTGTTACTTTGCTATTATAAACTTGCACTTTTAGATATATTGTCACATATGATGTGATATATTATGGATGTACTTTTATGGTTAATACTTTATATGAGACATTGTGCCATTAAGTCTTGGTAACTGTCATTTTTAAGGGTTAATTACTTTGAAACTTTAATTTCAACACACTTTAAATGTTAATGGAAGCATATCAATGTTAAACTTGATTGGTTGTTTTTAATTGTTTTTAATTACACACTTGTTATATTCACCTATATATTGCCGAGTTGTACACTTGAATTTAGGGCTAGAGAAAGACACTATACATTGTGTCCAAATGTTGCCTTTCACCCACATACCTTTATTGTCGTGTTTTGAGAATATTTTAAAATTTCTATAGTTTTTAGTTACCTGATGTGCATTGTTTAGGTAATTATATTATTGTTATTATTATTTTGTAGCAGAACGTGCGTAACCCATAACTAATCATTAGCAATTTGTTTCTTTACTTGCTTATACTTATCGGCATAATTTTTTACTATCTAGATAGTGCAATAGATTTAGTTCTGAAAATTGTGAATTAATTTCCTAAAGTTGACAATTTGTGTCTTTAATTTATGGTTTTAAGTTTTTACTGACTTTATATATATATATATATAGTATTAACTTGATATGAATACATTTTGCTTTTGTTTGTTGGAAATTGATTGTGATTATTATCCACAAGCTAATACTTGTTTATCAGTACTTGTTCAAACTCAATACATGCCTCAGATGTATTTTCTGATACAGCAATTGATACAATCACGGGATCCTCTTTAGAATTCAATGCTGTATTTCTGTATGTGTCTGGAAGATGTAGGTGCCCACAAGGGACAGGTTCGGGTAAGTTAAGCTCAGTTTTGCCTGCCCCACCCCGGCCACCAGACTCCCAGTGGCAATGTCACCATTCGGTGTTGTGCAAATTATGCAAAGTGGCGCTTTAACAAGTGATTTGGGGTCCACCAATTGCCTGGTTTAAGGTGGGTAGCCATTTTGTCTAAATATCCCCTGCTTTTTGTACACATGTGGACCAATTTTTGATCCTTCTCTGTTACTTACAGTGTAACAATGCATTCAGCTTATGTCAGTATTTGTTTTCAGTGCTGTAGGTAAAAGAAGAGCTTTGCCTCTGTCCGCTGTAGCACTGGAGAGGTCAAGCCCACATCAAGGTGGAACAACAAGTACAAAAGGCGCTAGATCAAAATCTAAAAATTATAGTGAAAAGAAAAAGATCTTATTAAAAAAGTCTTATTGAAAAAGCAGCTCCTTTTAAAGTGCAATAGCTCAAACCACACTAAAATACAGTACAAAAAAAAAAGAAAAAAAGGTGCGCTGTATCTTTAAATGTAGACTCAACTATTTACGTGCCAATTAATTATTGCATAAATGTGGAATATAATCCCAACTAATTTAGTTGGGATTATATTCCACATTTATGCAATAATTCATTGGCAATTATTGCATAAATGTGGAATATAATCCCAACTAATTTAGTTGGGATTATATTCCACATTTATGCAATAATTCATTGGCACTTAAATATTTGAGTCTACATTTAAAGACACAGCGCATCTTTTTTTTTTCTTTTTTCTTTTTGTACCACATCAAGGTGGGCCTTCAACCATCTTTATATGGCTTTTGTGTTTTGGAGCTGTGCTCAAAAAAGTAAAACAAACTCAGACCCTGTTCTGCAAAGTCTGTTGGAATTTAAGATGAGGAACGATGCTGTAACTTTGACTATTTAAATGAAGTCTACTTGGAATCGGTATTCCCACGGAGGCTTCTAAAATCCTCCTCTTTGGAAAGTAAGAGAAAGTAAATGTTAAATGCAGATAAACTGTGGTATAAATTGTGCTATGATTAGTGACTGTCAGTAACCCATTCTCACTGACCAGCAGTAAGCTATTTTATCAGAGTTTGTTAGGAAACTTTACTATGCGTAAAGATTGTTATGTATATTTAAAATATTTCTGTGTATGCTGCTGTGATTATATATATTTGCGGACAACTACAGGGAATGGTGGTCTGCTGACTTTCACCAAATATTTCTATAAATTAGTCTGCATCTTTACTTGTGTGCACCCTCAAACTAGTAGACGTTTTTCAATGACCTCAATAGTTTGAGAGAAAAAAAAAAAACCTTTGCAAAACCAAACTTCCTGTTACATTCTAAAAATGAAACACACCCGAAAATAAAGAAGAACTTGTGCTACTTGGTCAAAAGGAAACTAGACAAAATGACTGTCTTTTCACAGTGCATAATCTACCAGTTCTACCAATTAAAATGTATAAGTATTTTTATACTTTTATGTCTTTTTAAATGTACTTTATGATCTTCTTACATTGTAATAATATCATCCTAATGTGATAACCTCACAGTTAAGGAATGTACACAGCATCTAATCATATGATATACAGGTTAATGAAATGAGCACACATCAATTCATATAAGACAGCAGATATACTGAGTTCCTCATTTGGAAAGGTCTTTTTAAAGGAATATTCCAAGCACCAAAACAATTACACTACACTGCAGTGAAAGTGGTCCCAGGAGTACCCTGCTAATGTTTTGACACCTTACCTGGTCACCTCCATGAGAGCCAGAAGCTCACTGCTTTGAGATGAGCATGGTAGTGTTAGAGCAAAATTAACCATAGGGATGACCTCAGGCAGTTGCATAGGGTACAGAACTTAGACAGTGGCCCTGGAACCATATATGTACCTGGCCCTATATGAAGAGTGAAGATGGACCCCCAAACTGTTAACTTCCCCAGAGTCCTGTGGGATCTTACTCTTTTTCTGGGTGGTGCAGGGCTTAGCACGTTGGCTGAGAGATATCAGCTGATGCTTTCAGTCAATGAGCTGGTACTGCAGGGCATGGTTTTACTTAGGACAGCGATGTAGTCATGGCTGTAATCAGAGGAACCTTGTGGATGTCTGGGGGAGTATGAACAAACATGTGGCCTTAGTTTAGCAAGGTTTTGGGCTTGTTCTTTGTACCAATAAACCACTTCCACCTAACACTGATTGCTGCAGAATAGGCCACACACCCAGCCAATGATATTGACATAGGTGTTGGGTAGTTAGCAATTCTATCGGTCTTGTTCCCTTGTTCCTTCAGTGACAGAGTGGTACTAGCATCCAGTGGTGGCTGAGTATCATTATACTTACCCTGGTGTTTATGGGATATCTTCTGTGGTGTGTAATACATAGTTAGTGGGTTGATTAGAAATGTTGTATTTCCAGTGCTGGTTATTTTATTATAGGAATTAGGTTGTAGCCCTGCCGTAACCAGGACTATGTTTTTCGTATAATTGTTATGTTATTTTGGGGTTTCATATAAAGGTGGATTGTTTATTATTAGACATATGCAATTCGTTTCATTCCGTATGTAAATTCGGATTAATTTCAGCAATTCGGACAGTGCTTTGGAGGTTCAATTACGGAAGTGCCGAATTGTGGAATTGCCAAAGTGCCGAATTTCACAAGTGCCAAACCAAATCGAAGTGCCGAATTTCCCCCTAACCCTACCCCTAACCCTCCCCCTAGCCCTAACCCTAACAATAGGTTAGGGGTAGGGGTAGGGGTTAGGGTTAGGGTTAGGGAATTATCGAAGTCCCGAATTGTCGAACTCCCGAAGTGCCGAAGTCCCGATTTTCGGAAGTACCGAACCGAAGTGCAGAAGTGCCGAATTACTGAAGTCCCCAATTGCCAAAGTCTCGAATTTCGGAAGTGCCGAACCGAACATAATTTTTTGTGGTGTGCCCACAATTCCCCTTATTTTCTCTGTTCCAGGCTGCATACCAAGAGCAAGCGTCTGTTTGTTAGTAAGAAAGGAATGAGAAGAGAGTGTACAAATGAGTCCTGAAAAGAGAATATTCAGAATTTATGATTTTTGAGAGAGAAGATATTAGAGCTGTGGTGTTTGTAAGATGGACAGGTAGACTGAGCTGAAGAAAGATAGAGATTGTGTAGTCTTAAAAATTTATCCTGCAATTGTTCATCCATTGCCACCTCCATCAGATACAAGACCATAAGAATGTATGATTTTTGCATTGCTTTCTTTTAGAAAGATTCCGTTTTTTTTATTCCCATCATAATCATGATCACCAGTCTCAATAGCATCCAGCACTGCAAAGCTGGGGTATAAAAAACAACTAAGAACGTAAACTAAAATGTGTGATTTTATATTTACTTTACAAGTAAGCGGTATAAAAAACATCAAAAACAAGCCACAGTTCTTTTACACACACATTCTCTCTGAATCTACAACAAACAATTGAGAATTGACTAAATTCTATATAAATAGCAGTAGCATAATGTAGCATAAGCATAGCAGGGAAGTACCTTAAATGTAGTTTCACATATGATAACAGAATATTCATAAAATAATAATAGTATAAACATGTATATCTAGAACCACTATAGCATTAGGAACATGCTTTTTGACCTGAAATCCTTCGTCACTTCCACAATCATCATCCAATCCAATGTTCCTCACAGAGGAGCTTTGTGGATGAGATGTACGTGCATAGTGAGCATCCAAACAAATTGTCCTCATAGAGGAACATTGAATCCAATACTTCCTTATTAGCTTCATTTAATGACATTCGACATCTTCATGGACGTCAAACATCACATAGCCAAGTGAAACTATTAAACTGCTGTGGTCTAGATGCCTTTAATGGTTCATCACTAGCTGTGTGGCTTAATCTATAACATGCACAGAAATTGATTGTTACTCACATCTCTTACAGGGTTATTTAAAGAGTGAATTTAAAGTAACATTTTAAACTGAAAAGACAGTTTGTCTATTCTGACCTGAAATTCAAAAATGGCTTTACATTTCTAACAATTTTCACTATAGTGAATAGCCCTGTTAATGTCACATTTGACTGTTGGGAGAAACATGGTTGGCCCAGTATAATGTAAAGTAATGTAGAAAGACAATCCAAATATATAAATAAATTGTGAATGGTTCCATTTAAAGAATTATTAAAATGTGTAGCTAGATCTACTTAGCATATCCAGAATTTGACAACTGCTCTTTTTTAAATAGTAAAATGTACATTTTAGGTTCCGGTCATCTAATAAATGTAAGTTAATAGTTGCATATCAATGCTACAAGGAACACACAAAGGGACTTGAGGGAAAAAGACACACAGAGGAGCTGGGGAGGCAAAGAGTTACACAGAGGGACTGGGGGGGGGGGCATACACAAAGGAGCTGGGGAACAAAGAACAAAGAGACACACAGGGGCTAAGGGGACAAGGAGATAGACAGAAGGGCTGGGGGACAAAGAGACACACAGAAGGCTAGGGGGACAAGGAGACACAGAGGGCATGAGAGAGACAAAGAGACACACATAGGGGGTGGGGGACAATGAAATACACAGAGGGCTTTTTTTCTACAAATCTGGTTTTAAAAATCAATGTTTGCAATTTTTGTGGCTTTTTTTTTTTTTTCGTCGGGTATTAAGTATCTGGTCTTGCCTAGAGATCAAAATAAACTAGCACCTCCCTTGCCCAGGTGTGCTGGTGAATGAAGCCACAGTTGCATATCATATTACCCCAATTATACCTTTAGATACTCTATGCACAGCCCTTCTCCCTGAATCTACACAGCCAGAAACAAGAAAGATTTGAATCTGGAAAGCCTAACAGGCCACTCTGTAACCTTTGTAATTAGGCTACACCTTTCAATGTCAGCAACTAACGGTTTGTATCTCCATCCTCTTCTAAAAGTACAGTTTGGAGGTTCAAACTTGAATTTTTAATTACTTGGTTCTCGGTTTTTGGAAAGCATTAATAACCTTTTAGGCTACAAATTGATATAACTGATAATAAAACTCGACTGATATATCTTGCTTTTTTAATATTTTACTATTGTAATATTAATGTATACAGGGTTACTCACTAAAATGAATTTAAGGTCAAAAGAAACATTCTCTAAGCCAGCTATACTTTCCATTCACCTACTCTGGTCTTCAATTTGAAATTCACTTTGAATTCATCTTGACTTCTAACTTTAGTAAACAACTGTGCTAATCTTACCCTTAATCTTACTAGATTCTTGTAAGTCTGCTGGTCCTCTTCGGTTTTTGTTTAGTCGTACAGCGTTGTGTTTTTATCGTCTTCTTAATAGCTGGTTAAAAGAATGTGAGCAGTTTTCGGTCTAAAGAGGAAGTGTGTTCACGGAATCTTTACTCAGTCAATGTGTGTGTTTTTAGTGTGATCTGCAGTTACTCAATTTTTGGGTATTACAGAAAATTAGCATACTTATCATCACATCCTCACTTTGTAATAACCGCTAAAGCATTAGATATCAACCACACATTAGTAGCATGATACAGACATTATCCAAATGGTTGAATATATCCTTTTGCTCATATTATTACCTACTAATCTAGCCTTTAGTGCATATATATTTTTCATTTTACATACATAGTTACATAGTTATATAAGTTCCAGAATAAAATGAAAATGCAAAATGAACTAGTCATTTATACTTATACATTTTCATGTATGTGATAACATAGTTACATAGATACACAATGAGTGTCAAGATTCTATATACATCCCCAAGTTTTCTGGTTGCTTCAGTCTGATGCAGTACTTCACAGGACCACTACCTTGCCGTGGTGCTGTTGCAGGATGCTGCACCCTGACTGAAGAGATCTGACTTTGACCACGTCTGGCTCTACCATGTCTAATCTTATCCATTTTTGGGTACCAGTTGATTGGATTTTTTTCAGGTTTGGTCCTGGTATCTTGTCCGCCGGCTCCCGGAGGCCTTGCTCTATGTATCCTGCAGGCTCTGCTCTCTGCATTCAGAAGGCCTGAGTCCCAGAGTAGTGCCCACTTCTATTGAGTTTCCCTGTATCTGCATTTGTGTTATACATTTGTATTCTTCCAACTAATATACTAGTTTGCCATTTTACATTGTTATGTATTGTGGTTTCTTTGCATATGGCGGTTACTGCTCGTGTCGCTGATACTTGTCCTTGTTGAATGTCAATCGAATGATAAGACTGTATATAGCTCTGATATTTATGGTGCTCAGTATTTAGCCTCACTGGACTTTTCTGAAAATACAGAATCCAAAGTCGTCTGCAGTATGGTGTAAAGTGACCCAGAACTCAAATAAGAAACCAGTGAAAAAGATCTGCAATAAACCGTTTTTTTAGACTTACTCTCAGTTTTAAGGAGAATCACTCCATGCTTCACAGTCACAAATTTCAGCTGAAGCTCAGTTTACATCATGTTGTTTATACTGTATACTGTTGTTTATACTGGCTTCCAGAACAACAATCTATTATTTGTAAAACCTTTTCTCCAATGCATTCCAGAAAAAACATCTTTAAAGTCTCAGTCTGCTTCCACTCTCCCAAGAACCTAATACCAGAAATGATCTCAGACTTTTTGCCTTTGGAAGAAACTTTACAAAAAGTAACCCGGGTGCCAGAGTCAAAAGTGACTCCTTTCTCTAAATCCTTCCTCTGGGAAGTGGCTGGGTTCATGTGCATCATTTATCTGGGGAAGAGATGGCAGTAAGATGCACTATGGGAAGGAGAAAGGTGTTATGCTCTGAAGAATGTTCTGCTGAGAAACCTTGGATCGTGGCATTGATGTGGATCTTACTTTGACATGTACCACCTACTTGGAGATTGTTGCAGACCACGTATACTCCTTCATGGCAACCGCGTTCTATGATGGCATCTTTCAGAAGGATAATGCACCCTGCCACATGGCAAATATTGTTCAGAAATGATTTGAAGAACACGATAAAGAGTTCAAGTTGTTGCCTGGGCCTCTGAATTTCCCAGATCTCATTCCAATAGAGCATCTGTGGGATGTGCTGGAACAACAAATCCAATACATGAAGGCCCCACCTCATTACTTCAAGGCTTAAAGGATATGCTGCTAATGTCTTGGTTTGTTCAATTCCGTTTGCAAAAATTCACAAGTAAAACAGTATGGTTTCGGGCTAATAAGGTTTTTTCCATGTGGCAGTTCTAAATACACACACATACATTCATATAGTTGTTAAATTATCCATCCATTTATAATGCAGTTAAAAATGTAACTAATAAATAATTAATTGCCCATAAGGTAACAATGTAATTAATGCTGTTATTGTTTAGAAAACTCCCAAGACACTGTACTAGTCTCACTTCCATTTTAAGTACCTTCTCAGTAAAGCATTTAATTCTGTTTGTTCCCCCCATTATATATTATGTTATTATTATTGTAACGGACCGTTTCACTTAAAATGGGATAAATCCGTTTAGGCGATAATCCCCTTTCCCATAGACCAGCAGCTATTGCAATCACCAACCTCCCGACCTCCAAACTGTACGAATCCCCAACTCACGAACAAGAAATACACGAACTCTGGAAGCAGCCGAACAGGAAAAGCAATACGAACGGCTTACACTCCTGGCAGTCAGCACACAATCCAATTCCCCCAATAACGAGACGACACTTCGTTTTGAGGGTTAAGCAGAATCTGCAGATTTATTCACACAGCCTCCTTTTAAGACATTCTCCCATGCAAGGGAGGGATCCACAACAATTAGTACCCCAGCCAATAATGTACCAGTTACCTCCCACACATCTCCTCCCCTTAGTGTGACACATAATCCCATTAGTACAGACACAAATTCCCTGGGATACTGGATGTACCCCTAAACATAGGAATACTCCTTTAAATGTTACATCCCCTGGTAGCCCTGATCTGGGTGAGACATATATCCAAAAATCACCCAGATCGGACCAGGGGTTCAGGAATTATAAAGGGTTAAAGTTTTGACCGACTGCATGGCAAAAGTATCCGAAAATAGTTCCATGTACTTTGGCCCTGCAGTCGGTCACAGAAAAGGGAATGAATCACACGAATTGCCTGGGTTATAGAGCTTGGGGAGGATTCGTATGAATCCCCCTGTTCGTGGGATCCTTTCTACCGAACGGCGGGCCGTTCGGTAGTTTCTGCACGAATTGCTGGAAGTCTGGAGGTCTCAGCGGTGTTTGCTTAGTCGAGTGTCCGATTTTAGTTCCAGACACTCGACGGCAAAACACCGCTGTTCGGGAGTTTAAGATGGCCGCCGCCACGTGTTCGTTTCACGAATGGCGGCCACCCAGAGGACACAACACACAGTACACATATAGCCAATTACCCGTTTGCAACATTGTTGCAAACGGTAATTGGAGGCACACTTACTCCCGGGTGGTCTGGTTGTTCGGTAGTTTCACCCAATATAATGAATGAAGTGATTCTACCGAACAATCAGGGAATGCTGCATTCACATAACACTTTACACCGAACACATAATATTAAATACAGCCTGAATGCAATTTGCTACACAGTCTTAAAAAGGCATTATTCCTAACAGGCAGAATATGTTCACGGAGGGCCCTTAAAGGGCCAGTAGCAGCAATATAAGAATGTCACATGCCCAAATATTGCATACAAAAGTACGACTTCACAAGGGGGCCATAGTCAGATGGCAGGAGGCTGGCAACCAGGCTTCTCCAGTGCATAGTGGCGAGGTTGGTTTCGCCACACTTCTCCCCTTTACCAATCAGACTAACAGGGTATCTGACCTCCTGCCGGTCAGTGCCCTTGTTAGTCCAGCAGCCCACCCACAAAACACAATCAGTAATACAGCCCACCCACAATAACTGGCTACTACATCTGGGTGGCGGAGAACTTTGTCCGTGTCCAGGTGCCTCACCCTGGCTGGGTGGGTGACTGGTCAGCGTACTGGGTGGGTTGCTGAGTGGGCAGAGACCAGCGGTACTCTGTCCTGGTGCCAGCACTACCAGGGGAGCAGTCTGGTTGGAGCCTGGTTGCTGGAGGAGAAGACAGACTGTCTCCCCTTTGCCTAAACAGTCCTGCTGCTGGGTGACAGGACCGACTGTCCCTACCCCCGGTGGTGCATGTGTAGCGACTACTGTCCCATCTGCACTGTTGTGGAGATTACTGTCTCCCCTTGGTGGGCTAAGCTGCCGCTGGGGAGAGAGTGTAACAAGCTCCTCTCCCATACATACTTTCAGCCGCTGGGGAGAGGGGATAACAAGCTCCTCTCCCTGACACACTCTCTGCTGTTGAAGGGGGAGACCGACTGTCTCCCCTTTTCAATCGTCCTGTTGCTGGGGAGAGGTGATAACTGGTTCCTCTCCTGGAGAGGGGGACCAACTGTCTCCCCTTTTAATATATTGTCCTGCTGCTGGGGAGCGACCGACGTCTCGCTTCGCAGGACACACTGTGCTGGGGAGGAAGGACGTACCTCGCTCTGGGGTAACACTGCCGCTGGGGAGGAAGGACGGCAACTGGGGTACACGCTGCCGCTGGGGAGACTGCACCTTCTGCTCCCTGGGACACACAGCCGCTGGGGAGGAAGGACGGCACCTTCTGCTCCCTGGGATACACACTGCCGCTGGGGAGGAAGGACGGCACCTTCAGCTCCCTGGGATACACACTGCCGCTGGGGAGGAAGGCGGCACCTTCTGCTCCCTGGGGTACACACTGCCGCTGGGGAAGAAGGACGACACCTTTGGCTCCCTGGGACTCACACTGCCGCTGGGGAGGAAGGACGGCACCTTCAGCTCCCTGGGGTACACACTGCCGCTGGGGAGGAAGGACGGCACCTTCAGCTCCCTGGGATACCCACTGCAGCTGGGGAGGAAGGACGACACCTTCAGCTCCCTGGGGTACACACTGCCGCTGGGGAGGAAGGACTACACCTTCAGCTCCCTGGAACACACACTGCCGCTGGGGAGGAAGGACGGCACCTTCAGCTCCCTGGGACACCCACTGCCACTGGGGAGGAAGGACGGCATGCCGCTGGGGAGGAAGGACGACACCTTCAGCTCCCTGGGTACAATAGACTGCCGCTGGGGAGGAAGGACGCACCTTCTGCCCCTGGGACACAATACACTGCCGCTGGGAGGAAGGACGCACCTCTCGGCCCTGGGGTACACACTGCCGCTGGGGAGGAAGGACGCACCTTCGCTCCCTGGGGTACACACTGCCAGCTGGGGAGGAAGGACGACACCTTCAGCTCCCTGGGGTACACCTTTGAGTCCCCGTAACGCACTCTGCCACCGGATAGGGCGGCCGATACCTTTGGCTGGATCTGCCATGAACTCCAGGTACTCGTCTACCTGGCTCCTTACGAACTGCACGTATTTCTCCGGGGGGTTGGGTCCAAAGAAAGCCAGCCGCATGGTAAACTCCCTGTCATACTGCTCCTGAGTGTAGCTGGGTGCCATGCTTGCGCTGCTGAAGTTAGTTCTTTTGTAGATAGGGTCGCTGTACGGGTACTGGCGTTGCCCTCACTTTGTAATCCAAGGAATGGTGTTGCCCTGTAGCTGTCTTTCTGGTTGTAGGAACGATCCCACCGCTGCCACCAATTGTAACGGACCGTTTCTCTCAAATGGGATAAAATCCGTTTAGGCGATAATCCCCTTTCCCATAGACCAGCAGCTATTGCAATCACCAACCTCCCGAACTCCAAACTGTACGAATCCCCAACTCACGAACAAGAAATACACGAACTCTGGAAGCAGCCGAACAGGAAAAGCAATACGAACGGCTTACACTCCTGGCAGTCAGCACACAATCCAATTCCCCCAATAACGAGACGACACTTCGTTTTGAGGGTTAAGCAGAATCTGCAGATTTATTCACACAGCCTCCTTTTAAGACATTCTCCCATGCAAGGGAGGGATCCACAACAATTAGTACCCCAGCCAATAATGTACCAGTTACCTCCCACACCTCTCCTCCCCTTAGTGTGACACATAATCCCATTAGTACAGACACAAATTCCCTGGGATACTGGATGTACCCCTAAACATAGGAATACCCCTTTAAATGTTACATCCCCTGGTAGCCCTGATCTGGGTGAGACATATATCCAAAAATCACCCAGATCGGACCAGGGGTTCAGGAATTATAAAGGGTTAAAGTTTTGACCGACTGCATGGCAAAAGTATCCGAAAATAGTTCCATGTACTTTGGCCCTGCAGTCGGTCACAGAAAAGGGAATGAATCACACGAATTGCCTGGGTTATAGAGCTTGGGGAGGATTCGTATGAATCCCCCTGTTCGTGGGATCCTTTCTACCGAACGGCGGGCCGTTCGGTAGTTTCTGCACGAATTGCTGGAAGTCTGGAGGTCTCAGCGGTGTTTGCTTAGTCGAGTGTCCGATTTTAGTTCCAGACACTCGACGGCAAAACACCGCTGTTCGGGAGTTTAAGATGGCCGCCGCCACGTGTTCGTTTCACGAATGGCGGCCACCCAGAGGACACAACACACAGTACACATATAGCCAATTACCCGTTTGCAACATTGTTGCAAACGGTAATTGGAGGCACACTTACTCCCGGGTGGTCTGGTTGTTCGGTAGTTTCACCCAATATAATGAATGAAGTGATTCTACCGAACAATCAGGGGAATGCTGCATTCACATAACACTTTACACCGAACACATAATATTAAATACAGCCTGAATGCAATTTGCTACACAGTCTTAAAAAGGCATTATTCCTAACAGGCAGAATATGTTCACGGAGGGCCCTTAAAGGGCCAGTAGCAGCAATATAAGAATGTCACATGCCCAAATATTGCATACAAAAGTACGACTTCACAAGGGGGCCATAGTCAGATGGCAGGAGGCTGGCAACCAGGCTTCTCCAGTGCATAGTGGCGAGGTTGGTTTCGCCACAATTATGTTATGTTATCTTGTCTATCTCTCAGTAATTAGTCATTCTGGACATTCCCAGTGTCATACTAGACATGGCTCTGAGGCTGAGCTGGTTGGTTAATGACCTTCAAGCTGAACTAATGTTTCTGGCAATACTATTAAAATCAGTTTTAATGTGTATTAGTTATAAATGTCCCAGGAGCCACTTGGATGAGTCAGTGAGTATATGTTTTTGGGTGAGTGAATATGTGCGTGGGTATTGGTCAATATGTGTGTGTGTGGACCAGAGAGTATGTGCGTGTGATAGAGTATGTGAGGGGTAGAAGGCACAGCACAGCAACAGTCCCAATTAAATTGTCCCTGGAAGGGAAAGAACAAGGGCATCATTAGACCTTGCTCACATTTTGCAAGAGCTTCAGCAGCAATCTCTCTGAAAGGTGCTGTAGGTTGAGGGCTGGAACTTAATAAAATTACCACAGCTTGCTCAGTATAAAAACACTAATTAAGTAGGGTAATAACCACAAGCTGTACAAGCTTAACCAGAAGGCTTGCTACCCTGTCTGGGATGAAAAGTAGACTTGCACTTGGAGAAAAAAAATGTGGATTGTACGCGTCGATTAACGAAATAGGGTTTCGTTAATGTGGCAGTTCGATTCAGACAACTTTTATCTATGTGATTGTTTCAGGAATAATTATTTGGATAAACAATATGGCGAAAGAATGCTTCTATTAATGTACTGTAAAATATGTATATAATATAAATAGGCCTAGAGGGTAAAAAGGAGTAGTAGTAAAAAAAAAAAAGTCTATCTTTATTTACTTTTATATTATATATTTGATACATATATAATAGAAAAACATAAAAATATAAACTTTATTTTCAAGGCCGTAAATTTCCCGGTGGGACGGCATACTATCAGGCCGGTGCTCGGCCACCTATGCACACCGGCCTGCAATTACACAGTAACCAACAGAAGGGGATGCGCTCCCCTCCTGCCGGTCACATAATGTAGTGTGGCCGAGCAGGCAGACCATGGTAGAGGAGCTTCTGTTCCCCTACCCGGTCTGACAGGAAGTGCTCACAGAGAGCACATGACTGCTTCCTGTCAGACCAGGTAGGGGAACAGAAACTCCTCTTCTGCGGTCTGCCTGCTCAGCCACGCTACAGCAAGGTACAGGGAGGGGGAGAGGGGGGCTATAATGGGACTCATGGGGGCTGGGCGGAGCTATAATGGGACCATTGGGGCTGAGGGGGCTCTAATGGGACACCTGTGGGGGGCTATAATCGGACACCTGGGGGCTGGGAGGGCTATAGGGACACACAGGGGCTGGGGAGGGGGCTATAATGGGACACATGGGGGCTGGGGAGGAGGCTATAATGGGGCTAGGGGTTATAGGACACATGGGGCTGGGGAAAATCAGGACATATGGGGGCTGGGGAGGAGGCTATATTGGGACACATGGGGGCTGGGGGCTATAGGGACACATGGGGGCTGTAATGGGACATATGGGGGCTGGGGAGGGGGCTGTAGGGGCACATGGGGACTGGGGGGGCTATAGACACATGGGAAGGGCAAATGAAACACATACAAGTCTGGGAGAGAGCTAATGGGAAAAATGGGGTGCTAATGAGACTTCATATTAAAGGGACACTATAGTCACCAGAACTACTACAGTTTAATGTAATGGTTCTCTGTCCCTGTAGGCTGAGCACTGTAAATGCTACCTTTTCAGAGAAAAGGCAGTGTTTATATTGCTGCCTAGGAACATCACTAGTGACAGTCACTCAGACGGCCACTAGAGCTGCTTCCTAGTCCAGTGCGGCACAGTGTTGAGCATCTTCACTCTCTGGATGGAGGCCCTGAACGCTCTCCATAGAGATGCTTTGATGCAATGCATCTCTATGAGGAGATGCTGACTGGTGCGGTGAAGCACTGAGTTTTGCCACACATGCACAATAGCCTTCCAATGCTTTCCTATGGGAATTGAATTGGCGTTGACTGAGATTATCCTGTTATCATCCAAAGTGAAGAGCCCACTCTCGTTACTTCAAAATGAGCAAGATAACGTCATTTTGTTTTACTGCTGTGCAATAACATACATTCACAATTTCAGTTCAATTACCAAACTTTCCTTAATATGTCAAGGTAGTTGGACTGAAACATTGATTATATACAAATGCTGTCTGCTTACAATAAATCCACTCTTTTGTTTATTTTGAAGCCCTGTAAGTGCTTTCTTTCACGTTTGAGTGATTGTTTTCAGTTTTAAGGTTTTTTTTCACGCTTCCATATCTGCACACTATGCTGGCGCGATGCATTATGGGGATGGTATAGAATTTTTTTCCAGGGCTGCTTTTCATTCCTAGTCTGGCCCTGATTATTTTACTGCATCTCTGTTTTCCTTCTACTGGCCACAACTCTAATCAATATTTATTGGCTGTCTCAATAAAAAACAGTGGAGCGCTATGTACCTTTAAAGTGCAACAAGTGTACACATCTGTATTTAATGCAATACTTCAACGAGTTACTTAACTGGCTTTGATGAAAATTTGTGGTAAACCAGCAAGTATACCTTAAACAGAAAAATAGTAGATAATAGTGTAAAACCTTATTATATATTTTAAGGTGCAAAATCTTATATGAATCACTCGCATGGTCCAGAGCCAATCCACTTAGCTCTGGTGTGTATAGCTTTTTAGTCCATTTGAGAAACCTCTCCCCTCCCCTGTATTAGTTATTTCAATGGATTCCTTTATCCAGTGATGTATCTCAGAGTGAAAGACAATTTTTGAAATAGTGTAATATTGCTTTAAGAGAGAAACATATGAGTAGTAATAGTTATAGTCACAAACGTGGAGCCTAAATCCTGGCTCGGTATTGTAGCTTTGTATGGTTGAGGACCACACCACCTTCTTTTATAAGTGCAGGTAATGGTATTAAAAAAGTATAGCTTTATTACATTTATAAAAACAACAAAGATAGTGCAATATGAAAAAATATACCAATATTATAAAGTCTTTTATCCTCAGGAAACGCATTTCACCATTTGTTGGCTTTGTCAGGTTTTTGTTTTTGCGACAAGGATGGAATTCACGTATCAGTCATTCTGTCATATGGTGATTCGGAGTTATGCAATTTGGACAACCCACTGATTGTCCAAAATTTGGATGAATCACAATTCGTTTGAAACCAAATGCACAATTGTAATGATCAGTAACTTTTAAAGTGACGCATAAAGAAAACATTAACTTGCGTTATATATTAATTTACCAATATTTATGGGAATACATTGCTCAGTTCCACACAAATCATAAATCATACAAGATAATTTTCTTTGCAAACCAGCACTATAGAAACTGTTTCCTTTTTCAACATTCTTACTTTTCATTTTGCGTAAAAACCAAAACCACAGACACGTAAAAAAGGTTCTCAGCATTTATTCCATCTAAAAAAGGGTGTGCCCCCTCTACTGGCACACATGCTGTTACACTTAGAGCCAAGTTTATTAGGCTCTATATAACGTGAGCAGTTACCTGTATCTTTTATTCACATTACCACTGTATAACATAGTGGTCATCCTATTTACTTTGTCTTTTATCTGAGCTCTACTGCATTGAATATATAAGAGGCCCTGGTATTGCCAAAATTTACCACTGTTGGTGTGGTTTCAGCCTGTCCTCGTTATTTAAGGGTAAGTTGTCTACTATTTAGCGCTCAACTAGCACTTATGCTAGTGGGTTGATGTCACTCAGCTCACCTCTTTTCGTTTCCAGTTATGCTTTCATTAGGAGAAGAGCACCTGCAGCACATTTTCATGGGTAGATATTAGGAGACATAATCAAGAAAGGCAGGGATGTGTCATGACATATACCCACCTTTCTGTTAGTGTAGGGTTATTGAGTTTTCCTTTGGACCCAAGTCTGACACCTAGTACAATACACTTGTTTAATACAGACATACGTACACTAACAGGCACTCTAAACTAACACTCCAAATAACAGCAATCCCTAAAACTCCATTTAAGAGATGTCTCTAATATTGTAATGTATTTATCAACTGACCATTCTTTATAATCACATAATCCTATTCAAGCACACGTATGTGAAAATGTTTATACAAGGAAACTCCTGTTTTATGTTCAGTAATTCTACAGAAAATTCTGTCTGATCCATGGAAAAGCTCTTGATTCTTCTATTCACACAGCCACTCAGGTAAAATATACTGGAACAGTGAATTCACACGTAAAACATACCAAATTGGCATTCTCAAATATGTAGATCCAAAGCCCCATTTTCAATAAAAAGATGAGAGATTGTAGGATAAGACTTTTTAAAATATACTACACCCCTGCACTCTTACTAAATAAACTGCATTATAATTAAAGTGCAATGTGCATTATATGGCCACTTCTGGTCCTCTCCAAGTATCTGCCTCCCTGAGGAAGTTTTAAACAAAAGGAAACAATCAGCTTTGTAGCAACTGTGTGTTTTTAAATGCTATCAATACCTCAGAAATGTTCATGCTGTAGATGTGCAGTTGTGTGATTGGATAATCAGGCTTTAAAATTGCCCTTGGGACTGTGGGTGTCCTGGACCAACATCAGTTCCAGTCTGCAGTACTCCCGAGTCACAGCATACTGGTGAGCGGGGAAGGTTCAAACTGTTGTGAGTCCTTCTTTCACATGGCCTGAGGGTTCTTCTAACGCTAGTATCCGGGCAATCTAAGGCTGGTTCTCAGGGGTCCTGCAGGCATCCTGGAAAAACCCCACTCTTCTTACCCTTTAATTCTATTATCCTACTGCTCTGGTAGGCCCTCTTTATTTAGAAGCCTAACCTGACTGTCGATTCTGGCACACTTCAACCGATTTTGCCTTTGGTAGTTGAAACAAGCATGGCATTGGTTCCCAACCACAAATAAAACTAGCTGGTTTAATGGTGTTTAGACATTTTTACCCTAGAAGCCGGTAGAACAGTAGGGTGACAAAGACTGGACTATGTCCGGAAGAGTCATGGGTAGCATTGTTCCTGGCAAAATCGGCCCAGGGCAATAATTCAGACTAGTTATCTTGTGTGCCATTCACAAAACAACACAAATACAATTCCAATGACTGGTTAGCCCTCTCATCCGTGCCATTGGTTTGGGGATGGTAAGAAGAAGAGAATAACAATTCAATACCCAACTGTTTATTGAAAGCCCTCCAAAATCGAGACACAAACTGAGAATCCCTGTCAGACACAATATTTTGAGGAATGCCATGTAGTCTGACAATTTCTTATATAAAAATAAGAACCAGTTCTTGTGAGGATGGCACTTTTTTGAGCAGAACAAAATGAGCCATCTTGGAAAAGCGGTCAACCACCATAAGTATTGTGTTATAGCCATTAGAACTAGGAAGTTCTTCGAAATCCATGGACAAATGGGACCATGGAACACTAGGTACAGGAAGTGAATGTAATAATCCACATGGAAGTTTATGAGGAACCTTAGAAACTGCACATACTGAACAGGCCTGCACATATTCCTTGATATCTTTCCTGAGTGAATCCCACCAAAATGATCTCAAGATAGCAGATATGGACTTATTAATCCCTGGATGCTCAGCAGTCACATTGTTATGGAACACCCTAATTATCTTCTCTTTTTCAATCAACGGAACAAACAATTTATCTAGAGGTTTATTGCAAGCTGGCTGGGATTGAGCCTCCATGATAGCACCAAGCAGTTACAAATACAGATATACAATAAAAAGTGAGCAGTCTGCTCACTTTTTATTGTATATCTGTATTTGTAACTACTGTTACACACTCGAATACCAGGAGTTCCCTGAAGAAGTCCATTTGGACGAAACGCGTAGGACCTGATACCATAACAGCTTATACATATATTTATCTTTTCTATTTTTAAATAAAGAAGGAATTTGTTTACTCCATATACTGAGTCCAACTCTGTTTTCCTGGGAGCAGAAGCAGTGATTTTGCCCCCTCCCCCCCCACCTACATCAGGGGTGGCACCCTTGGGCGTCATTAATTCATCCATCCTATTGCGTAGAAATCCCGAGCAATCCAGATGGACAATTGCCAATCCCAAATTTTGTGGAAAGCCTTCTCAGAAGACCTTCAAGAAGGAATTTGTTTACTCCATATCCTATGTCCAACTCTGCTTTCCTGGGAGCAGAAGCAGTGATTTTTCCCCCCACCTTCATCAGGGGAGGCACCCTTGGGCGTCATTAATTCATCCATCCTGTGAGTTATATCTAATACAGCGCATTTGTACCCTGTTATACAGTGTTACACTATTATTTGTTCCATAATCCATATTCTTTTGTAGATCCACAGCTGCATCCTCATTTTTGTGTATACCTATTCTATATTGGAGGGATTATTGCTGGGATATCCCTGGAGGAAGCTGTAACCACTGTCTAATAAGATAAGTGTTTCTCACCTCCTTGTTTTATGTGCAAGGGTGATTGTTTTTGTTCTATGTATATATATGTACTTGATTAATGTAAGGTCACCCTGGGGAACCAATGTGGTAATTTGTCCTCTGTCATGGCAGGTTCAGACTGTCTTCATAGAACATGAGAGTACCTTTCCAATAAAAAATTAACCAATGCATTTCAGACTTCTTTTTATTGTCATTTTATTTTATTGTTAAAGTAAATTTGAAAAAAATTAAATAAATATGGCATCATTATTTTATAGACTTTCTAAAGCTACAAACAGTGTAAAGCATCTGTGTCAATTTCATTCTTTATGAATTCCCTTATATATTTTTAAACAATATATGATAGTGCTTATTCATGTCAAGGTTCTCTTGACCTCCAGCAGCTGTAAGCTGATATTGATTCACAACTGCTATCCATCCCTTCCCTCTCCTGTCCCTCACTGGCCATCACCACATATAGCACTACCCTCACCTCTGCCTTGAACGCTGCAGCCCCGCTCCAAACAAGCACCTCAAGGAGGATACGCACCCAACCGTGGCATACTAAATCAACACGCTACCTGCAAAGATGCTCCCGTTATGCTGAACACTCCTGGAGGAAGTCTCGCACCCAGTCAGACTTTCTACATGATAGATTCATATTGTGTTGTTACAGCGCAGCCCTTGCCCTTGCCAAACAGTCCTCCTTTTCCTCTCTCATTCGTTCATGCTCCCGCAATCCCAGGCATCTCTTTGACAATTTAGTTCTCTTCTTCGCTCTGCTATGGCCACCCCCCAGACTAACCTTACTGCCTATAGCTTTGCATGTTAATTTACCGACAAGATTGAAGAGCTAAGGAAAGAATTCTCCCTTCCTTGCCATTCTCTTTCTCAACCACACGTAGATCATGCATTTCCTACCCTTCAGACTTTCCCCCCGGCTACTGAAAAAGAGTCTCCTTTCCTCTCGCCCTACTACTTGCCCGCTCGATCCTGTCCCATCTCACCTTATCAGATCTCTCTCCACTTGTCTTGTGCCTTCCTTAATGAACATCTTCAACTGCTCTCTCTCTTCTGACGTTGTCCCTGCTGATCTTAAACATGCCACTGTAGTACGTATCCTGAAAAAAACATCTCTTGAACCGTCCTCCCGCTCTAACTATCACCCTTTTTACTTAAAGCTTCTGGAAAGACTTGTCTTTACCCGTGTGTCTCACTTCCTCAATTCCAACTCTCTCCTTGACCCTCTTCAATCTGGTTTCTGCCCTCTCCACTCTACTGAGACTGCGCTTATCAAAGTTACTAACGACCTAATCACAGCAAAATCCAAAGGTCACTACTCCATACTAATTCTTCTTGACCTCTCTGAACATGCTCCTTCTTCAAACTCTTCAATCACTCGGTCTCTGTGACTCTGTCCTCTCGTGGTTTTCCTCTTATCTCTCCCAACGCTCATTAAGTGTCTTCTTTTCTAATGTTACCTCCTCCCCTCATCCTGTCTCGGTTGGAGTCCCCCAAGGCTCTGTCCTTGGTCCCCTTCTATTTTCTCTTTATACTGCCTCTCTTGACAAACTTATTACCTCTTTTGGATTCCACTACCACCTGTAAGCTGATGACACCCAGATATATCTCTGCTATCTGGACCTCTCAACGGGTCACTGCTTGCTTTTCTTCCATCTCTAACTGGATGTCCTCCCACTTTCTGAAACTCAATCTCTCTAAAACTGAGCTCCTTGTCTTTCCTCCTCCTAATACTGATCCTCCTCTTTCGCTCTCCCTTCAAGTTAGTGGTATTCACATAAGTCCATCATTGCAAGCGCACTGTCTTGGCATCATACTTGATTCTGGCCTCACCTTTGAGCCTCACATCCAGTATGTTGCCAAATCCTGTAGATTCAATCTTAAAAACATAGCCCGCATCTGCCCCTTTCTTACGCAAGATGCTACCAAGGAGCTTGTCCATGCTCTAGTAATTTCCCACATGGATTATTTTAACCCTCTCCTGATTGGTCTTCCCAAAAGCCCTACTGCACCACTACAGTCCATAATGAATGCTGCCGCCAGACTGATTTTCCTCTCTAGTCGGTTCTCTCACACCTCACCCCTCTGTCAGTACTTACATTGGCTTCCTGTATCCCTTAGGAGTCAATTCAAGGTACTAATTCACACCTATAAAGCACTGAACAATTCTAGCCCCTCTTATATCTCCTCACAAATCCATAGTATGTCCCTTCTTGGTCTCCAGGCTCTGCCCTGACCTTCTCCTGTCCGTTGTTCGCACCCGTACAGCCAACTCAAGCTTGCAGGACTTCTTGTGGGCTGCTCCCTTCTTATGGAAGGACTTCTTGTAGCCTGCCTACCGCCATCAGACTCTCCCCTAGTCTTCAAGGGCCTTAAAACCCATCTTTTTAGGAAAGCTTATGGACTTTCAGAGTAACATCTACCTTACATACCTGTCTCTTGCTCTCTCCTAAAGGGCAGCTCTGCCTCACTCCCACCTTATTTGACTGCGAATTCCTGTCCTATTGTGTTTTACACCCCACCTCCTATAGAATGTAAGCTCGTTTGAGCAGGGTCCTCTTCAACCTGCTCTCCTCCAGCTCTGCCTCACTCCCACCTTATTTGACTGTGAATTCCTGTCCTATTGTGTTTTACACCCCACCTCCTATAGAATGTAAGCTCGTTTGAGCAGGGTCCTCTTCAACCTTTAGGTTCCTGTAAGTTTTCTTGTAATTGTCCGATTTATAGTAAAACTCCCCCCTCTCGTAATATTGTAAAGCGCTGCGGAATCTGTTGGCGCTATATAAATGGCAATAATAATAATAATAATAATAGTGTAAAAACATACCATGTGTTTGTGCAGTCAAAATAAAATGTAATACAAAATGTTAAAATAATATCAACATGTAACAACAACATGTATATTTATGACATATTTCTGTTTGAGCAGTTTACATATCAAAACCAGTTTAAGTAAGCAAATAAAAATGTTTCCTTTAATGGTTGATTCTTTTTTACATGCAACAGCTTTTGCTTTTCTTCTCGTTTTGTTTTCCTATTTTGACCACGTTATTTTTCATATATTCTTCATGTGCTTTAAGAGATCTGCAGAGAAATGCAACAAAAAAAACATGTTGTAAAATCTGTATATATTCTAAAGGATTTGTACAAGTGGCATTTTATTACATATTATTATTTTATTATGACACTAATATATAGCCATGCTGATACTATATATTTAAGTTAATTGCATAATAGAGCATGTGCAAAAATTATCAAACACACCCTCAAAAAGAAAAGAGAAGCACAAATGCCACCTTTGTTAGAACAAGCACCCTTTGTGCTCTAGAGATTATGTAAAATCCATTTTAGAGTTAATTATGAGATGTAGAACAAAAGTGATTAAAGGGTAAGAAATATACAGTAAATGATAGAAAATGTCCATTCTATGTTGCACACAGTTGAGGGTTTCAGAAGAGACTGCTTAGAGAAGTTTTCTTGGGAAGTGGCATAAACTGTTTTGAGCACTCTCATGGCAATTCAATACACTGTGAATTGTCAAGAATTCACTAGGAAATAGTAGATTTAAAGGGACACTACAGGAAGCCAGATCACTTCAGCTAATTGAAGTGGTGCAATGCCCCTTTTGCACTTAGTGCTGCAATGTTAAACAGTGCTGTTCCAGAGAAACTGCAATGTTTAACATTGCAGCACTAAGTCTGCCTCCAGTGGCTGTCTGCCAGACAGCCACAGGGGGCTCTTCCTGGATCGAAACGGACCTTTGGTCCACTATCCGACACTGGACCTCCTCACACTCTGCATGAGGACATCCAGCGTCAGATTTTTCCTCATAGGAAAGCATTGATTGAATGCTTTCCTATAGGGAGGTCTAATGCGCGTGTGGCATTTGAAGCACATACACATTAGCACCCACTTGTCGCAGGATGTAGGAGGACATAGAGCAGTGATCCAGCGATTTGATAAGGTAAGTAAATAAAGTGTTTTTAACCCCCTATTTAACACAGATGGGGGGGAGGGAGCGATAGTGCTACAAATACAGCTTTGTAATCCTGGCACTATAGTATTGCTTGAAGTCAAATTAGCCCAATTTGCAAATAATTTAAAAAATGGTAGCCAAAACAGCTGACTTTTGTCGCTTTGCAATATTTTGGTGAGTTTGTGACAATTTACCGTTAAGTAAATAATACTGTATGTGTATTGCAATAATATTTTTATAATATTAAAAAGAAAATTGCAGTTTATAATTTAGCATCAGGTGCAGTTCCATTACATCACATTGATAAAATGAGTTTAATGCAGCCACACCACAGCTGCTACCAGCTCATTGACAGAGCAGTTCACAGTTTTATGATTTAATCTGTGAAGCTACCAATTGCTTGCACTGTTACCAGGAAACTGCAGAAAAATAGGTATCCTAGTTGTGTTTGAGGTGTGTGCATACTGCACGCAGAGGTTGAACATACCCTAAAAATATTTTTCATATATTAATCCTTTTATCAAGAATTGAATGTAAATAGATTTTAAATAGATATTTTTTTCAATGAAGTATATGTTAAATAAAATTAGAAAAAAACACCCCTACCTTTAGCATATGACAGGATCCTTCAGCCATATACATGCACCTTGGGTCAGACAATGTTTCAAATCTGGTCTTCTCTGCTTCTGTACATGGAGTGAAGCAGGGAAGACCACAAAGACAACTCATAGATTTTAAACACTGTCTGACCTAAGGTGCATGTATATGGCTGAAGGATCTTGTCATATACTAAAGGTAGAAAAAAAATCTATTTCCTTTCAATGGTTGATGAAAGGATTAATTTATTTAAAATATTTTTGAGGACGCAGTTGCTCTTTAAAGCGGCACTGTCATGCCGAATTCTGTTTTTTTTTTTAACCCCCCTCCCGCCTCCACTACATCCAATTGACCCACTAGTCACCCCCAAATGCCCCTAAGCCCCCCACATTACCTATTTTTAATCCTTATTTTCTGCCCCGATCTTGATTCAGGGCGCCGCCATCTTTGTGTGGGTAGATGAAGTCCCTGTGGGACACGTCATCAGCCCACACTAGGCAGACACTGAGATTCCCGCACATGCCCAGTGAAACACCTGGACATGCGAACAGGAATTTCATCTATTCATTCATTCATCAGACAGACGAATGAGTGAATAGAAAGATCAGCCGAACAAACAAACACAATGTATCAGTGTTAGTTTGTTCGTGCAGGTTATTACAAGGAGGAAGCTACCGGCACGCAGCTCCCTCCTTGTAATATGTAACTATAGAAGCGGCAGGGAGCAGTGCTCCCCACCACTTCATAAGCCCCCCCAGGTCCCCCTCTCACTCTATGGGGGTCAATATGACCCCCATA